TTGTTTTATGGCCACATCTGAGTGCCATCACTCATGGTGCACCATTGCATGATGCTGAGTATAGTGCATGATACTCACTTGAGTGATCACCATCTAGACGCTGGTCCCTTTTTGAGTTGGAGGTCTACGTGGGCATCTCGGATTCGTTATTGTGTAGGTGTGAACAGCCCAAACTCAACAATGTTCAGAAAATAGACAGCACGGCACGGAAAATGTTTCTGTTTGCCCCAACCCCTTGCACACCCAGCTGCACAAACATGACATCTCGCCGGCTGAGTGACAGGTTTAGAATAGATCCAGATCCCGCAGTCCCTTTTTGGGTAGGAAGATACGCGTTCGGTAACATACAGAATTGACCTATGCTGGTTGAATCTGAGCATCATCAATCCCAGAGACCCATGAGGCTTTGGTTTGACAGAGCTCACGCTTTGATACTTTACTATGCAAGCTGAGGAAAGGTACAGGCTAGATTCGGTTTCTTTTAAAGCGGCCTTCTGGCAGCTTCCAAGTTGCTGGGAGGATTGCAACACATGTGTATATTGTGCGGCGGTGACGCTTGGAGGCACCAACCCACTCCCAGCCCTTTGGCTCAGCCATAACCCATGCGGGCATCAAATTTAGTTGAGGAATGAAATGCCACAAGCACACGCAGGTTTCGTGCCCAGTCGGCTCCCTTTGCGCGCAGTGGAAGAAACTGTCCAGAGTTGTTGTTTATTCAGACCTGGCAGACGCAGGCAAGGACAGAGAATGTCAACCACCGTACATCGCAGAATATAATCTACCCCTTGGTGCGCATGCTGCTCCAAACCCACCCTCTTGGCACTATTGCCAAAACTATTGGCATATTGCCTCCAGCAAAATAAAGACACACACGTTTCAGCTTGTGCAAAGAAGACACGTGAACATACACGATTGCAATCTTCCGCGCAAATACATCTACATCTCGCAACCACAGGTCACATTGTCTCATCCGCCTCTTACCCCCGGTTGGGGGGAAGCCACTTGCTGGTTCCCAGAGAATTTCAAGGAAGGGGGTTGGGAATTGCCAACCATCCTCTTGAGTCAGAACAATGACAGTCGTTCAATCCTAGGTGTGCAGTTGAAGGTGATCAAGCTAGCAAGGATGATTCTCGAGAAAGCCACTTGTGGGGATGGCTCATTCCTTGGTAAGTATGGTAAGTGACAACTTGCATACAATGGACATACCCCAAAATTAGCAGTACATGGGCTAGGGCACCCAACGTCCATCCCTGGCATGGTGTCCATGGTAAATAAGTTGGTGCTTCACCAGGCTTGTGGGATCAAGTGGTTTATCCCCACTTCTGTGATACAAGGGAATTTCCCCACAGCGTAAGTAAGTTGGTCCATGCTAAGTACCATCCGTAAGTTGGTCCTTGAAGGGAACCAAGCAGTTCCATTCCAAGACCCACGCCCATCCCGCGATCTAAAGAGCCACAGATCCATCCCTGGCCTGTCCATATTTGTTTCCATGAGGTAAGTTGCCTCCTGAACTGGAGGAAACCCAACCCGCAGTTTCCCAACAAAAAAAAAAAACACGCGCCACCCAACGAGCCAGGCGGCCGTTGCTTGGAGCTGGAGCCCCGGGACCGCATCACAGTGCGCTCCGCCATGGGCGCCCGGAGGCCCAGTGAGTGCGCAAGGCCCAAGGAGATAAAACGACGGGCATGGAGGAACTGGGGAGGTGGACTCCCTGCAACTCACCCTCCAAAGATGAAGAGATGGACCTCGAGCAGCAAAACAAGTACACAGCCAATGAGATGTCCGTTTCTGTATACCATTGGATGATTTATGTGGGATTGCGTGTCCGGCTGGTTGATTTTTTTGTGCCAGATCTTTAGGTCACTTATTGCATGTTGTTGGGTTTTGTGTGTGTGTGTGTGTCTGTGGTTCATGTGGCTTTGATAGGTCCGTGTGGGTCGGGCGGAACTTATACGCGCGATTATTTGTGGTTTGAGTACGTTGCACGCTTGCATGATTACTTAAAATCCCTGCCAGTGTGATTGTGTCGGCCTTGCTCTGGGTCTTGTGAGTGGCTCCGTTGTGCGATGTTCTGCGTTGAGTATGATTTCTAACAGGTGCTTGCTGCAGATGGTGTTGCATTGGTGGCATTGATGAACTATGGTTTGTGTTTGTGTTTGACTGATTGTGTGTTGCGGTGCACAATGGACTACTTAGGGCTTGTGCTAGTTTGGAGTGGCTACCAAGTGAGGGTGCGGCTGTGTTTGGACAGCTATGTCTTGGAGTAGTGGCATCGTGTGAGCAAGAACGTGTCTTGGTTGATCGTTTCACTTGTTCGTGTTTGTTTGTTTCTTGGATTGTGTGTGTGCGTGTTTGTTTGTCAGTCTACGTTTGTGTGGGTCGTTTGTTTAATTGTGTGTGTGTGTGTTTGGGTGTGTGCTTGCTTGTTTGTGTCTCTGTTTATGTTTATTTATGTGTATGTGTGTGTGTGTGTCTGTGTCTGTGTCTTTGTCTGTGTCTGTGTCTGCGTCTGCGTCTGTGCTTGTGTCTGCGTCTGCGTCTGTGCTTGTGTCTGTGTCTGTGTCTGTGTCTGTGTCTGTGTCTGTGTCTCTCTTTGTGTGGGTTTGTGTCTGTGTTTGCGTCTTTGTGTCTGTGTCATTTTTTTGTGTCTGTGTGTGGGTTTGTGTGTGTGTGTCAGTGTGTGTCAGTGTGTGTCAGTGTGTGTCAGTGTGTGTCAGTGTGTGTGTGTGTGTGTGTCTGTGTCTGTGTCTGTGTGTGTGTGTGTGTGTGTCTGTGTCTCTCTTTGTGTGGGTTTGTGTCTCTGTGCTTGCGTCTTTGTGTCTGTGTCTATCTTTTGTGTGTGTGTGTGGTTGTGTGTGTGTGTTATGTGTTAATGTGAACTGGTTTCACTTATTGATGTATGCGGTGCTGTGGTTTATCATTTGCATGATTTCTTCGCTTCTGAGAGAGGCACAAGCTAAAGTTGTTTTGAGGCTGTTGCTAATGAGGGTGCAGCTCGGACCGCAACTTTACACTTGACTTGAGAAGAATAGCGGTCCTCAGACGGATCAGCCATGTTACATGCTGGCTGGGCTTTGGCCATCCATTCATGGCTGACGTAGCAACACCTACTGGTCTGAGGTCCACTCTTGAACGAATGCTATCATGCGATGGTTCTCAAATCACCAGCTCTTCACAAAAAACATCGCGCTTCTGCCAAGGCGTACCTGGCGATTCTCGGTGCAATATGTGTGGCAGCGATCATTTGCATTTTAGTTAGTCTGAAATGACACCATCTCGCAAAAAACAAACTTTTTGTTTGGAGGTTATCCTCAACAGCTGGGTGCTTGACGCTGAAACAATCTTGTGATGGTTGTTTTTGCATGTGTTTTTGTGAGCAATGGACATTTCACGGATGGTGAGGAATCGTTTCACCACGTTAGTTGCCAACAATGAAGCAGCGCTGTTGGTTCTGCGCCCAAAGTGCTTTGTTTGGCGCACGCCCGACATGCGAAAAAGACCGCTGCTGACGCATTTTGCGCCGGACAGCCAGGCGGCTGGCCCCTCCTTGCGCTCCGGAGTTTTTAGGTGACGATCCCATGAATATGGAACCCCAGCCCAAAATGTTGGACATGAATTCCCACCTAAATGATGTCCACAGTCCAGAAGGCCCCTATTGAAATTCACACCCATGTCACCAGGGTCCAAAAGGTCAGAGTTTGGAAAGTTGAGCGACCTGAAGCCATCAGACACGAATACATTGCTCAGACTGGCTTGCGCCGAAGGGGCCGCAAAGGAGTGCTCAAGAACTTAGACAAGCGCGTTTGGCCTGAGGCACCTCACATAGCATCGTGTGATATACGCAGTTTCAGCGCCCGCATCACCACCGGCATGACTGCCTCCCCAGGAGTCTCGCAGGACAGGGCTTTGAGTGATATGTTTTTGTCTGAGCTGAGTAGCGAGATAGGGCACACTCTCGAAGCATGGCGTGGAAACAATATTTCATGTTTTACTTCGAGAGTTGAAGCAAGGTCTTGAAATTTGCGGGTTCTTCTGCAGGTGTTTGAGAAACTTATGGCAAATGTTATCGTGAGATCGTTGGCGATATCGCACAGTTACACCAGCGGGGATAGGTTGTTCTTTTGCTTCTTTGGTTGCACATCATGTTGCTGGCATGGATTGATCTAGGAAGCTGGTGACTTCTTATCCACGACCGGAGACGGTAAAGGCATCATACTACGCACACTCACCTCAATAGAATGAGAAAATTGGATTCGAACATTGTTTGACCAAGCCCCTAGCCCAGTGCACCTTTTGGCGTATTGCGGAACGATTTGTTCTTGGCGTCCTGTTTTCCATGGCAACTGGGCAAGTCAGTTTGCAGCACTCCGGCCATGCGGTGAAGTTCTCACGAATCACCTACCAGCTACTTTGTCATGAGAGCGGCTGATACTGTGGATGGATGAAATCCTGCACCACCTAAGAAACCCTGGAAGAATGATTCCCCTGTAAATGCCAACAAACAATAGTGTCCCTTGGTGTCAAAGTGGTGCAGGACTGCGCCCATGCACAGTATAACCAGGTTCTTGCTACCCTTTGCTACAACCTCCACGCCTTTAACATATTGGACCCGGATGTCTGGCCATCAAGGCACAACGGTTCGGGCGTGTGCTGATGTTACTTTCAGCAAACGGCCATCAGCCCTGAATGTGGACAGCGTTTGAAGAACACAGATTCGAACATAATTTCCCAAGCCTGGGAATAGTGGACCATTTAAACATCATGGCTGCTCGAGTATGCGAATCACATGAACTTATACTGTGTATTGTTGTTTTAATGGGTGGCGAGTTATTACCCCTTTGGGGATCCGACCCCTTACAAGCCCGCACAAACAACTCAGGGTGCCACAAGGTGGTTAAGCCGATGCCTATGTTTGGAGAACCTGACATGCACAAGGAACAGGGTACCGATACCATGCTCAGCAAGCAGAGACTCAGGAGGCGGCAATTGCGGTCCTTGCCATTCTCGGCGCCAAGGCGCACGCTGGCATCTAAGAGTTGGATTGAAGGGACCTGAGACCTAGAGTGGTTGATGGTTGCCATTCTGACTCTTGGTCGTTACATCCTATGGAAGTACTTGGACCTCGAAGGTTGCTGTGAAATCAATACAATTATTCTTCTCTTTTTTTGCGTTCTGGTAGCAGCACGCATCAACATCGTTTGCGCATTTCTCCACTGCAGTTGCAGATGGAGGTAAATCTGCCAGAGGTTTGGACCCGTATTACTTGGGAGGCAAGTAACTTTGGTCTACTTGGTCATCCGGACGATCTGCTTGCTCCGCGATAGCGAGCTCACCAAGCGGGGTAAACCGAGCTCACCTATGATGAAGGTCCTTTGGCCTAGTTCAGGTAGGTGGGCTGGAGTCAAACGCCCTAGTTCATGTGTGTGTGTGTGTGTGCGTGTGTGTTTCGGTCGGACGCGCTGCGCGCTCCACTATACATGGTTCGGCCTTTCGTTGCTTCAGGATACACATGTAACCACTGGCATGATGATTGCAGGACTTCGCCCGTTTTACAGAATTGTGCGTCCCCAGTCCGTAGCCCAGGTTTGCTCATTTTGTCAAGGAGACTGGGCCGCCAAGATTCTGTGAGCCCATGTGCGCGAAAGACTGGAAATCAGAGAACCCGGTTTGTCCGACCCCCGAAGGATCCAAGAAGCTGATTGCAAGCCCGGCGCCCGGCCCCCGAAGGACCATTATGCCGCAATGGATGCCCCCAGAGACGCCTCAGTCGCGGAGCTGCGAAGATGTTACCTCAAGGCCGCGCTTTAGGCTTTGGAACGCAGGGCAAATCGCGTGAGATGTCGACAAAAGAGTAGCTGAAGAGGTGGGTGACGAGTCAAACAACATAGAAACGGAGTCAGTATGGTATATGTACGAACCAGTTGGTGGCCCCATGCAACACGTGGATCAAAGATACAGACCACAGAAACCGCCCGTTCGCAGTTTGAGCCAATCCAGAGTTGGCTTCCAATGAGGTGGGCTGTGGGGATGCTTTGGTCCGGGAGGTAGCTAAATGGCTAGTAGCCATGGGTACACCAGATTTACTATGATTGCAGACCCCCAGTGTTGCTAGCCATGTAGCCTTAGTTACTAGTTGCTACTTTTCCCCGCACCGCTCACAGCCTCGGGGGTGGGAGCGGAGGGTTCCAGAGGGCTGCGAGTCTGGGGGTACCTCGGTATACCAGCCACTGGACAAGTCAGAAACTCCTTCGACTCGGTGTGTCGATGTAAACTTGCACAGAGTGATTTGTTTTTTTCCGCGGTAGGGGACCACCTTGAGAATGACAAAGCAATTATTATTGAGATCTCACGCATTTGTATGACAGAAAGGGTTTCATGTTCCACATCAGCTTGAACAAATAGTTGTTACAAATCCGACAAGCTTCAAGGCAGCGTCATTGCGGACTTGAAGTTGAGTATACCAGAACACGTACTTGTGCTGGTGGAATGAAGGACTTTGCCCGAATCACCCGGCTGTGTCTCAGGTTGTTGGTTAAGGTATGCTGAGAAGCTAGAAACATTGGCAGACTTAACTGACCGCTTTGCTTTTGTGCCCTGTTGAGTTGCCCTCAATTTTCCTTTCAACTAGCAAACAAACATGTTTGCACAGGGTCCGATTCTGGCTAAGATACGGGCCTCTACTTTCCTAAGCAGAATCGACTGTTTAGCAAGCCCAGGGTGACCCTCAGCCTGCTGCGGCGGGAGTTGGACGACCCTGATTCCTGGGAGCCTCCTGCTTGAAAAGAATAATTTATCGCTGAGAAGGTCATTATATACCTACGGCCCAGTCATTTGCCACGTGTTTTGTTTACTGCTCGGGCCACACCCGGTCAACCTTTCACTTTGATCCGCTATTCCCTGAATTCCTGAGGGATATGCATGAGCGTTAAGGGATTCTACAGCTTGACGCCTTTTGACCCCTCACTTTACACCCTCAAGGTACCAGCAGGCAATCCCTTCGCAGGCCTCCGTGCTGGTACATCCGGACAAGAATCAACACCCGCAGGCAGCTCCACGGGAGTTCAGGGATGGTGCCGGCAGGGGAACTTGAGAGACGAGGCTTCCGTTGATGGCTTTCTTTACCAGAAAGCGAGTCAACCGATTTCTCCCACTTGCAAAAAGCGAGTCGACCTGTCAATTGCTGTTTGTTAATGGTTTTTCACTGGTGGTCTATATACAGTTCACAAAAAGCTGGAAACCCCATGCGGCCAAAAGTTTAGCGGTTTTATGTTGAGGCAGGAATGTGTGCCGCAAGAAGGGAAACAATCGCCGGCAGTTTGGAACGCCAGCTCACAAACATAGCCTAGCCTGGCAAGCACCTTACAAATTTGACCTGACCCTTTCTCCCACCGTTTGCATTGGTGCGAAAAGCACAATTGTCATACTGGTACGGTGGAAAGCCCTAAGTATTGCAAGTTTACCAACCATAGCCACGAAACCATGGGAAATTGCGGGTACATTGGAGGATCACCTTCCCTTAGTTGCAATATTTAGGGCCTCCACGGACTCAAGGCAAACGTGTCCGATCGGCGCCCGGAAGGCCGTCCAAATTCTAGTGCCGATCGGCGCAGCTTCCCAAAACGCTTAGTTTAGCAGGTTGTTCCACTACCGGGGGGCTGGGGGTTGTGGTGAAGCTTACACAGACCACTATGACCGTGCTAACAAAGCAAAAAGGGGTGTGCCCATTTGGTTTCCTCTTGGCTTGGTTCTCCCTAATTATGTTTTGTTTCCCCTCGTTGAATTTGTTTCCCCTTGTGTTTCTAAGCCTTCCCCTTGCATGTTTATCTTGTCCGTGCTTTTTTGGTGTTTATCCTTGTCTTTCAGGTTTCCCCTATGTTTGTATCCTTGCGTTCCTTGTGTTTCCTGGGTTTCCCCCTTTTTGTTGGTGTTGGTTTTCCCCTCTTCGCGTTGCCAGGTTCACCCCTCTTTTTCGGCTGGCTCTGCCAGGCCACTCGCGCCTTCCAGCGCGTGGCCGCCGCCTGGGCGGTGCTTTCGGAGGAGCAGAAGCGCTGGGCCTACGACCAGGAGCTCATGGAGGGGGAGCAGAGCCCGGAGCCTCAAAGCGAACCGCTTTCGGAGGATTTGTTTTTTGTTTTTTTTACAGATTCTCCCGAAATGAGGTGAAGCGCTTTAGTGGACTTTTTTCGGCGATTTGTGGTGAAGCCCTTTCTTTAGTTGAGTTTTTGTTTCGGTGTTTCGGGGCTTGGTGGTTTGCCTCCCATTGGTGGTTGGATGGATTGGTGGATCGTTAGGGGAAGTTGACTCAGCTGCCCCCTCCAATTGGTTCAGAGGTGTTCCTGGAAATGTTTCGTTTGGGGTTCCGAGTTTGGTGGTTAGGTGGTTATATAGGTGGTTTGGTAATTTCATGGTTTGGTGGTTTGGTGGTTTGGTGTTCCGGGGCTGATTTCCCGTTTACCCCACGAGAACCAGGGCTTCAAGTCCCAAAAACAATCCAAACCACCAAGTACGGGGTGCCATATGGATCGAGTGTGTCTCAAAAAAGGAATCGGACCCCAATTGGTTTCCCTTTGAAGCCCTAGAAAGGGTCCCTCGAAAAAAGCACGCAGATAGATTCGTTGTATTTGTGGGCGTCCTTTTGGCGTGGTTTGTGGGAAATCCACAATTTGTGGGAAATCCACAATTTATGGCGTCCCCTGAAGGTTCAACACCTAGCGTACTACTTGCCAAAGTCAGTCTGCGAGCATCCCTGGCCTTTGACCAAACAAATTCAAATGCGTGCCGGTTTCCCCACATTGGAAGTCCGCCAATGTTCACACTTCAGCATGTGAGCGGTTAAAGAAACCCTGTATGTTTTAGCGTTGGTGAGATGCAACAAGCCAGTGGCTCTAACCCAACTATATGCCGCATAACAAACACAACACATATATTGCTGCCCGGTCTGGTCAGGCTCTGCATTCGTGATACATCGAAGCAGTGATACGCTCTTGTTCGCGCAACGATGGCCTGCCAATCCAATAGGCAAATGCCATGAATCAACATCCTGTCCAACTCATCAGTTGCCTTTCAGCTAAGTCACCATTGTTTCCAGGGTTTGAGGCAACGTTCGAAGGTATCCATATCGTGCAACTCCCCTACCAGTTGCCTTGCAAATGTCGGTCCTGGACATAGGCTTTCCTAAACGCCCCCTTGCAGCATCCCGCGTCAATCTCGCTTCAAGACAGTCCAGGCATGATGCTTGAATCTTCCCAAACCCAGAGAACCGCGCCATCAGTAAGAGGTTTTCTATGCATGCCTACAACCCCACCTTGGTTGGCAGTGCCAAATACGTGAAAATTGTGCTACCGAATAGTGTCTTCAGCCCTACCCGTCAACCCAGACACCCCAACAGGCCCGGTTTCACCACCAAAGTCAGCCAAACCCCCTCCCCAAAGGACTTGCCCCAGATTCTGACATGAGCAACCTAGAAAAAAAAGGCTTGTCTCCAAAGCCTAGAAATCCCAGACTTGAGGGTAGCCCTTTGGTTTCCCTGTAAAACAACTCAAAAAGGGGAACTTGCAAGATTAGAGGTATATCGAATATGCATGTATATGTACACTCTGGTTTGATCTTTAAGTGCCTTGCACCTTGGAACCCTTTGGCGGAAGGGGTTTCAAGTGCGCCAACCATGTGCGTTCCAACATCATGTTTTGGTAAACATCATTTGCATGGGAAGTTCTAATATTGGTGTCGTACGTGTCAAAACAGGGGGACCACATCATGTGGATTTGATGCTATGGCATGTCCCTTGAACCAACCTTCAACACCTCTTTTAGTTGGATTTACAGGGCAAAACAATTTCAAGGATCCAAATCCCTATTCTGGCACACACACACGCACAAATTGGTATGGGAAAACCCACCAGCAAACCACCAGGAAACCACCAGGGAAGCCATTTGCGGGGTCTGCGGAGCCCGCCAAGCCGCAGGCGACGACATCCACATGAGCCCCGACGAGGCCTTCGCCGCTTTCGCCTTTGCGGCCGCCTGTGCCGCTGGGGGCGGCTCCGCGGGCCTGGGGGACATGGCAGAGACCTTGCGCCTCGAAAGTGGTTTGGTTTCCCAGTTGCCCAGTGGTGCCCCTTTTTGGTACTTTTTTTGGGAAGGGGTTTACCTGTAAAGTCAACCAACCAAAAAGGATGCCCTGTTTTTTCCCATGGCCACTGGGCATTTGGGGTTTGTTTTGGGCTCACTGCAGCTCATTCACTCGACAAAGGATTGGCTTGGCTTTTGCGAGTTTTTTCACCTTTTGTTCAACCGTTGTGGAATTTCCCATGGGAAACCAGAGAAGAACCTGCCTTGGGCTTTTGAAAACAACGGGTTTGGCAGAAAGTTTGGATTCAAACATTCAGCCAAGAGGTTCTACCAAATGGAGGGGGGGGGGGAAATGGGGGGGGGCCAGGTTGGGGGGGCGGGCATTTCATCTAGCAGAAGGGGGAGGTTCTGTCGGTGGTTTCCCTTTTCCCTTTAGGCTAACCCCGAACGGGATACCCCTAAAAGAACAGCGGGGAGTACCCCCTAAAAAAGGCACCCACCAGCGCCTTGTCCCCAAACAGGACATGCGTTGCGTTCAGTTGAAAGAGCACAGGGGCTTTGAATTGTTCGTGCCAGAAGCCCGGCCCCTTGCTCCTGAAAGTGCGCAGATTCGAGGTTTAGGTGATTGTGTGCGCTTTGCGTCCTACCTTTTCATGGGTTTGGATCCAAATCAACCAAGTTCCGCATTTGAGGTGCGGCTTGTTTCAAGTTCTGGCTATTTGGAACATGTGTGACGGTGTTTGGTTGGCGGTGACTTGCAGACGGACCATCCCCAAATGCTCAATTTTGTCCAGTTCATACAAGCGTATATTGTACATTACATTAAACAAACATATATATATATAATTATATATATATATATTGGCTGTGGGTCAAACCCAATGGTACTATTTTGGGGTAGGTGCACCATCAATTTTAGTCTATTTTAGTGGGGATTGGGATGTTCACTGGGGGTGCGGGATTTTGACCCACAGCCACACATATATATATATATATATATACGCATCGTTTTGTTATGTTTTGTTTCAAGCGGGTACGCGGGTCCATTGGTGTCCCGCCGATTCCGAGGTTCTGGGCCCAGCAACTGGGCCAGGCCAACGCCCAGCGCCTCCCCGGCTTCGGCCCCGGCTTCGGCGGGAACGGCCTCAGCCTGGGCGGCTTCGGTGGCTTCGGCGGCTTCGGTGGGCCTCCGGCTGCCCCAGACGCGGTGGCAGCGACTTGCCTGGGCCGCTGTCCGATGGATTCCTCGGGCGAAAATGTGCGTTCAAAGCCCCTGGTGCTTTGAACCGTTATGAGTTTAGCATATGGCTGTGGCTCAAAAAAGTGGAACCCATGTTTGGGCCCCTTGGATGGAAACAAGCGTCACCCCAGCCCTAGAGTTTTGAGCAACACCCATATCAAGAGGTACCCACTCGCAAAAGGTACGCGGAAAGTTACGATCTTGGGGTTCATGCCTTGCATAACTGTCAGTGTATATACGTTCCAGGCCGTGCCCCCCCCCGCCGCAAAGGTAGACCCCCCCCCCTTTGTGGGGGTTGGGTGGGGTGGTTGGTGGTTGGGGTGTAAATATTTATACATATATATATATATATAATACATATATATATATATAGATGGAGACGCTTTCCAAAGGCATCTTCTGCACACGGCCAAAAGGCATCTTCTGCACACGGCCAAAACATGCAAGACGTCCAGAAATTAATTGACATGCCGTCATGTCCTTGCTGAAGGAAGGGTGTGACCATTGCTTTAACTCGCCACCTCTTAAGTCCAAGGCCTGTCCGAGTTGAGAGGGCTACGCTCATAGGAGTTGTAAAGTCTGTTGCCAAATAAGGCCTCTGCAGTTAAACAACTTCTGCATGGCAGTCTTGTGCAGCTTGGGGACCACGTTTTTTTCTTGGAGGGATTCATTGTGTTGCTAGGTGGGCCTATGGCAGCTAGAAAGTGCTTCAGCAGTTGGGACTCAAGTGCCGCAAAGACAGCATCGGCCATGAGAAGTATTATGAGATTCATATTTTGCATGAGTTTCAAAAGTGGCCTGGACCTGTTTCTTCCCATGTTTCAAACATGGCCCTAACCTATTTGTTTTGTTTGGTCCCCGATCGGAGCAAGTTGAGCAGAGGCCACCTTCAACGGCATCTGCCTCTCCGTGGGCCTCTACTCCGCGGGCTTGGCGGTGAGTCTGTTGGGCCTGCCACGCATCGGCAGCTGCGCAAGGCGACCAGGGGTTGGAAGACGGCCCCCATACACCATGCCTTGTGGATGATGGTGAAGATGACGATGACCATGGTGTTGATGATGATGCTGGCGAGGATGATGATGAGGATGAGGATGAGGATGATGTTGATGATGAGGAGGAAACCGATGCTGGTGTTGTTGATGGTGATGATGATGACAATGACGAGGAGGAGGACGATGATGATGGTGTTGTTGATGAGGATGATAACTATGATGATGATGATGATGATGATGATGATGATGATGATGATGATGATGATGATGATGATGATGATGATGATGGTGATGATGATGGTGATGATGGTGATGATGATGATGAGGATGATAATGACGATTGTGATGAGGCTAGAAGGTTGGCAAGAGACCTAGGTTTTGCTGTGCGCTCACTGCAGCGCTCCAAAGCTATTTTGTATGTTGTCCGCCTGCAACTGCGAGCTCCAGCATTGATTTTATGATTGCGCCAATGCCATCCGTTTCAATTGTCGTGGCTGCGTGAGCTAACAAGGTCTTATAGGTGTTGGAGAACTCAGACTAAAACTTTGATCTTGAACAATCCATTCAACAACTTGCGTCTTGTCAGGCACCCAGTTGTTCAGCAGCACCGTGGCAAACTTGGTTTCTTTGGGTGATTCTGTGATTGAACAGAACCAAGCAAGAAAAGGAACAAGTCATGTGTCCCATGGCGGCTGTAAGTAGGCAAGTGTAGAATTCTGGAGAATTCCGATATTGGCCAGAACTTGTTATCTATGTCCTTCGTGTTTTCAACGTGTGGGACTTTCATTCTGCAGCAAGGCCCAACATTTCGAGACCTCTGTTCTAACCGCCAGGCGCCTGGCGGTAGTGCAGGGCATCAGCCAAGTTGTCATCGCTTCGCAGGCGCCGCGGACGATACTGCCTTCGGTTTTGTCTCGCGACCTTTGACCACCAGGTTATTTGGAGGTTTGGATTGGTGGTTCGGGTATGTGAACGTTGAGTTCTTTGAGAATTGCCAAATGGGAGGGCACCATGACTTCCGACCCAATAAACCAAGCGAGGCAAGGGAGGGAGGGAGGGAGGGAGGGAGGGACTCTTTCAAGTTGACATTTCCACCCCGATTCTATTCGCTTTTGACAGGGTGACGCAAGTTACAGTGAGCCCCCCTAAAGGGTCCACGAGCTCCGTGCAGCATCCCAAAGGGTATGTCAGGTTTTGCAGACAGTCTTTGGCCTTGCTACCCCCCACAGAAAATAGAACACTCAAAGAACGCGGCGCCTTAAAGGGGTCAACTCAACAGCAAAACCGTTTGTGTGAGATGCGTCGTAATTTACTAGTAAAAAAAGAAAGAAAACAACACTGCTGCGCCTCGTGTTTTGCATGGTGAAAACTGGGGATCCTTCCGAATGGTTGCCTTTGTGCAGCTCCCTCTTACAGCTGTCTTCCAAAAGGCTGCTTGCGCTGCGGTATTTTCCGGCATGTTTGGAGCTATGGGAAATCCTGCTTAGATCTACCAGGAGTCCACTAGTTGTCCTTCTGCCAACGGTACAGCTAACCCAGACTATAGGAACTTGCGCTCCCACCAATGAACATGGAACCTGACACGGGGTCCCTTCAAAAAGGACAATGGTCTTCCAGGACCCCACTGTCAGGTGCCTTGTTAATTGGTGGGAGTGTAATTCATGGTTGTTCAGCCCATTCGACAGGACCTTCTGAGCGTTTGGCACTGAGCATTTGCTGGACTCTCAGTGGCATTGGCCAGTTCCTTTCGTCCCAGGCAAGATCCTCCGAGAGCTCGTGTTTAACATAGAGGGTCCCTCGAGGCAACGCGGCCAGGATACTCAGTGAGGTTCCATATGACTTGGCGGTTCCCAGCCGTCCCCTTGGGTTTTAGTTGTTTGTTTTTGTTGCCTGTTTTTGTGTTTGTTCTTTTTTTTACAAAAAAAGTTGTTTCCGGGTTTTGGATGGTTTTGTTTCCCTTGAACCGAAAAGTCAAAACCCGCAAGCCAGAGAAGTGGCCGGATGTGAGGCGCCAGCGGTTCGGGCCGCCTGCCAGAAGGCCACCGTGCAGGTGAAGGAGGCGGCAGGCGCCAGGGGCCCATGGGACGACTGGCAACGACTGGCCGTGGGATGGGGCGGAAGGAGTCTGAGGATCGTAGAGCTTTTTGGTGCAGAGGCCTCACTTTAATTTAACTCATGTATGTTGGTTTCGCTGTGTATGCATTTTGCCCAATGTTAGGACTTTAACACTTTTAGGCAACCAATGGGTTTCCCAGTAAACCACTTAAAGTTTAACTTTTGGCAGGGGAGCAGAAAGCAACCGAGCGTAGATATGGGGCGGAGTCTGAGGATCGTAGTTTTTTGGTGCAGAGGGCCCACAATATTCTACCATGCGCATGAGGTAATGAGGTAGGTTGGTTTCACTGTGTAGTTAGTGGTGTGTTTTCTGTTCTAGGAGTGTTTTAAGGTGTTTCTTCAACCTACGTGACTTTGATGAATGCAAACTCATGCCCTTTTCAGGGACCTTTTCTCCTTAAACTTATAAAACACGGAAAAAGAGCTCTTGTTCCAACAAAACGGCTTGGAAGGTAAGAAAAAAGGTTCAACCACCAGTCCGCTTTTTCCCATGTCCAATACGTGAAGTCTCCGTCCTCATCGGATGCCAGGAGACTTTGCGGAGCAGCACCCGGACTTCTCGTCTTTGGCCTCGCGCCTGCAGAGCGAAGGGGCAAAGGTCGCCTGCAAGGCCGGAGCGAAGTAACCGGAGCCCAGCGCGGGGAGGGGGAGGCGGGAGGTACTCCAATCAGAATTGACTTCCATTTGAGGAAAGGAATATGTTGTATTTTCCTCTATTTTTTGTTTAATGAGAATCGAGTTCACTACTGGAAATATTGTTTTTTTGCCGGGGGGCTTACGAAAATGGAAGTTTAGATATGACTTTGAAGAGGGAACCACTTCAACAGTCGGTGGCGGACGCAAATCGCAACCTAAAAAATGTCCGCTAAATGGTGCCCAATTTCAGCTGTCATTCCAATTTAGGTAAATTCTAGGGTAGACGTACTATGACGAGTGTTTGTTTGATGTTTAATCTTTGTAATTCGTAGTTGGGCCCTGGATGAGTCAGCTCAGGGATCCTTTAGGTGTTTGAAGGGAAATAATGACACAGAAGGAACTGTCTTCTTGTTTTGGCGGGTTTTCTATATTTATCTTGCATAAACAACATGTGGGAGGGGTTCATTTTTGATGGGTGTGTCCTGGAATGGGCAAACAAGTCCTTTCGGGTTTGTTTGTGTTCCATTTTTGGCTCTTTGAACATCACCTTTGGCCGCCCAATCTTAAGTGGCTTCACTTGTTTTCTAGAACAGTGGTCAAATAGGAGGTTGTGCTGACATTGGATTTTTTTTGGTTGATGCTTGATTGGAAGCCAAGAGTGCACCGGCTTCCCGACATTTGGGGGCTGCCTAGTTTTATCCCACAGCAGGGCAGGATTGGATTTTTTGAAATGTGACTGGACAAAACGAGAGAGTGAGTAGGTGCGTACTTCTCCTGGCGCTTAAGGAAACTACATGTGTCCAATAATTTCAAGGTCGCAACTCAAGAACAGCCAACTCTGAGGATTGCCAAGCACTTTTGAAGGTTCCTTTGCTGGAGAGAAACAACTCCTGGGACATGGGGGGGGTGCACGCGTAGGTTACTGTCGTCTCAGGGGCAAACATGGGGTTCCCTGTTTACGGAGCACCCGTGCAAGGAAAGCAGGGCTGATCTTCTGATGTTTCCCTCAATAATAGTGAGATTCCCCGGTAAGACAAGGTTCAAAGACCCTCCCTTGCGCCAATAGAGGGGGGCCTTTCAGCATGTTCGAGCGCCTGAGAGGGCACGCCGCTTCTTTGGTTTGCTTGATGCACCCGCCTCTGGGGTGAATGCCCTTTTATGACCTTTTTGTCCACCCTTAAACATCAGCTAGAAACTTTGCCCTCCGTGTGACTTGAACACCGAATCGGATATCCATCGAGACTCTGGCAGGTCCAATGTTGTTGTTTGTTGTCCACGAAGACTGCCGACAAATGGGTGTGTCTTATTTGGATGACACCTTTGTGAGGTGACTGAAACCCGCGCATCTTTTGGGTTCTTGGAACGACGAACCCATTGGCTCGGCGAGTGAAATGGCCAAGTGGGCGCTAGGCCAAGGAGACGGGCTTCGAGGCTGCGCAGACCATCCGAGAGCTTGCGGACCAAACGTACCACATGGACAGCGGCGGGGTGCATGCGGCCAATGGCAACAATATCGTGAGGTTAATTACTGTGGATGGACGGAATCCTGCACCACTTTGAAACAATGGGAACCAATTATTTGTTGGTGTTTACAAGGGAGTCATCATCCCATGCTTTGTGGGTGCATCCACAGTAGGGAATCACCCCACAAGTGAACATGAATCGCCACGGTGCAATTTGATGTCCAGATAACTAAGTTCAAGCCCATACGGTTGTCAATGGGGCCGTTTTTGGTCGAACTGGTGGCATTTTGTGTTGGCTTTTTGGGGTCCTGAACGGGATGGGTATCACTAGCCCCTGTGTGTTTGGTTCGTGAAATCGATCTGGTTTAAGTTCTATGTCCGGTTGATTCCCAGAAGCCTCACGTAAGAGGAAACACCACAAAACAGGGCGCCTTTTGCCAACTTGTCCAAGGAATTCGTACAGTTTGGTTTCACTGATTGGCTTTTGAACATTTGGTGTACTGAACAACCAGTAAGCCAGCGAGTAGCGCATGTTTGGCAAATTGGCTCACACTTGTAGTCTGGTCGTCTCTTGGCCAGCTTGCACCTTGAGGCATCTTCTCCCTGCTGGAAACGCACACATCTTGCCGTGGTAGACGCAGTAATTCTTGAGCGCATATCAAACAGCAGCAATGCCGAGTTTCCTGGACGGGCGGGCAGCGTGCAGTCGATTTTGCCGAATGAGGCTGCTGAACATGCAAAAGCGGCATGAAGGTGACCTAGGGCATGTTTGCCAACTCCGCCTTGTGCAGGTAGCCTCCGCGACGTAGGACTTTTTGAACCAAGAGACGTGCTGGAAGGGAATATTTTTTCAGCCTGTGGCGGATGGGCGGGTGGGCGGGTGTGTGCGTGCAGCCGTGATCTTCACTCGTAGGTACGGCTAAGGGGGAACCCACCCAATGGAGTCCGCCCAACCGATCCATGTTCTTCACCGTTGCAACTAGGAGATGAATTAACCATAATGAACCCGACAACATACTCAATGTGGCCCCAAGGTCTCAAAGCATTTTGGAGCACCGAAACACAAAAAGGACACCACCGAAACCATGATGTCCGGGTGGTGTCCTGGTGCCCCGGTGTCCTGGTTGGTGGTGTCCCAGGGGTGTCGCAGTGGTATCCGAGTGGTTGTGTCGCAGTGGTGTCGCAGTGGTGTCCCAGTGGTGTCCCAGTGGTGTCCAGGTGGTGTGCAGGTGGTGGTCGTGCTTTCGTGTCTTTATGGCAATGCGGTGGTGTCCCGATTCTCAGTTGGTATTCCTGCAATGTAAGGGTCATCCGCGTGGTATCCAGATGGTTGTCTTCTGATGGTGTTTTGTCCCTCATGTCCCAGTGGAAGCCCACGTTGATTCAGGACAACCATGTTCTTTCACCTTAGCAACTGGAGGATTTGTCAATTTTGAACTCTTCCAGACCTCATAATGTACGGATATATCAGTATGGCAAGTGAACCAGCAACCAACCCTTGTAAATTTTACCCTTGCAATATTCAGGACATGCAACATTTGGTGAACCAACCTTACGCAACCAAACCCTGGTCAACTGTGTTAAGTTTCCCTTGTTTCCCTACTTGCAAGATGGTGTTGACTTTTGGAGGCAGCCTTTGTCGGGTATTGTTGGTTCAAAGCAAACACTTGGAAGGTTCCCTAGTTTGAGCCAAATCCACATTGACATGGGAATCCCGGGGGTCTGCGTCAAAACCCGGCGTTTTGCTCCACGATGGGTATGGGTCAAAATTAAACCACCTGGAACTTACAGGTTTTAGTGCAGGTTCACACTTGCCAGGCCAACCCATTTTGGGGACCTGTTTTTGACCCACAGCCATTTTTGGCTGTGGCTCAAAAAATCCGGAGTTCCAAAACGGGTTGCCCTGGCAAGTGGAACCATGGACGATTCAACCTGCGGTTTGCCCCTGCTTAATTTCGACCCACTGCCGAGTCACCGGCGGAACCGGAGCCGGCGGCGAAGGCGCGTCCGAATTTGAGGACTTCCGAGAGGCGGCGGGCCGTGTGAAGTCCGAGGGCGCCGCCGCGGCCGGCAAGGCGCGAGCCAGCGAGCGTGTGGGGTGGGGGGGTGGGGCGGGACGGCTCAAATTGGAGGGATGCCATCCAGTGTCTGTTTGTTCCTGTTATATATATATATATAGAGATATATATTTATTATGTATACCTAGGGCTTCAAGAACCTGTAAAAATGTCGTACCCTGACTAAAACATCGTGTTTTTTCTCGATTTTCTGAAAACATCGTGTTTTCAGGAAAAAACATCGTGTTTTTGATAAAACCCCTTAAAAATTGGCTTCTGAGGCCAAACACTCATTTGGAGCAAAGGGTCAAAGGCAAGGGTCGGGAGTGGATTCACACAGACATCACCCATTAAGATTTCAACTGAGGGCAACGCTCTATACTGAGTATGCTTCAAATTCTAAGGACCACATTGATGAGCCTGACAGCCAGGGTGTGCAGCTGGCTTCAGTCTTGAACTACCTTTCACAGCAATAGGCACCTGAAGACTGGCGCCAGGTCATACCGAACCAGTTTGAAGGGGGTGCTGGAATCCGAAAGCTCCTTTTGGTGCAAAACAAGACCAGGTGACACTTTTGAGATTGTTTTTATCAATTTTGAGTTTTTTTTAGAAAATGGGGCAGGATCCTGGCGGCTAACCGCAGAGACCCGTAGAAAACCCGTAGAAAACCCGTAGAAACCCATAGAAAACCAGTAGAAACCCGTAGAAAGCCCGCAGCCCCAACCGAAAACATCGTGTTTTTGGAAAACATCGTGTTTTCTAACCCGTAGCTAAACCGTGGAGAACCCGTAGTAAAGCGTGGCAAAGCGTGGAAATTCTATGGGTTTTTCGGGTTCAACCACGAATGCGCTAATTCGAGAATGTTGCTGGAAAACAACGAAGTCGTGAGCAAAAGCACGGTCTTTGCTTGAGCTTGCGCGCTGTTCGAAGCCAGCACGCCCTCATCATGGCATTGCTGCTTGACAAGTGTCATAAAACCGTGGTACTCTTGACTATTTGGGTCCCCGGCCTCCTCCTTTCAGATTGGATTTGCGAAAGACGAGTGGCGAATGCGAAGCTGATTTCGTTACGAGTGCGAAAGGGGAGGGCGATGGGAGATTCTGAGGTTGATATGATGCTTTTGAGATCTTTTGAGAACGGATGACGAGTTGAAGGAATGTATGGGAAACTCCTTGAAATCGAAAATGCGGTGTTTCCCGAAAACATCGTGTTTTTCCAAAAAACATCGTGTTTTTTGTAGGTATGACATTTTCATCGGTTTTTGAGGCTCCTGGTATGTATATATATATATATAGATGGGTGCTTCTGCAAAAGGATGTCCAAAATGGTTGGTTTCCGAGCTTCCAACTCTTTTGAAGATCCTACTTACATGCCCAAGATCATCCAGGATCAAAACGCAGGTGCCAAAAAAGCAAGCCCACATTGCTATGGTTCATGGGTGAATCACCCTCCAAAAATGGTTGGTGACCACTCCCCATGTCAATGTTTTCCGCCAAAGAATACCCAATTCAATTTCATCACTCGTGTGGGAACCTGAAAGGCCGATTTGCTTTGGAAGGGACCCCCCCGTCAGGTGCTCAAGGTGTAGTGTGCTTTTTCGAGGCAATGGTTTGCTGCAGAACTTTTAGATTGTTGGGGCAACTTGACAGTTCTTGAAAGGACAACCTACACAGGTGCAGTGCTTGGTCGGATTCGTAGAAATTAGCACCCCAGCACCCTGCACCAGCATTCTGCACTGGCATGCCAGCATCCTTCGCCATGCCCATCACTGGCCCACCGCCTTGTACCAGCACGCACCCAGCAATCAACTTGCACCTTGCAGGCCCTTGCACCAGCAACAGCACTTGCATCAGCATCCTGCAAAGCAACACCGCATCACTCCGGATTCCAAATGGGGGATCACCTCCATTTGTTTTTAGTGACAAATTTGATTCCCTAGCTTTCAGCTGCTGGGGCACATGCCCATTTGTATAGGCACCTTCTTCTGGAGGAGCTGAACTCAAGGAGCAGCAAACTGTTTCTGCGTATCAACCTCCCTGGTGTTGGAGAGGAAGGGTTCTGACATGCTAGGCGCGAGGTGATTCATGTCGACCCGGATACACAAACCTGGCGGATGGTTGGGTTGTTGTTTCCTGAATCATGCCACCCTTTCGGGCTAGGTCTCTCCCAGTCTGGACCCTGCTAAATGTTGGGTTTTTCTTTCTTACTCTTCCCTGAAAAGGGTAGGCTCACGAAAAGACACTCATACATGGAGTTGCTGAACATACTATTGATAATTAGTTTTGGAACAGGCCAAAGTCCCAAAAAAACAAGGGAACTGCCCAGTTTGCCAATTTTGTTTATTGCTCATACTAGGTTCCGTCAAGATGTCCAGTAGTCCATGGCCCGCTTGGAAGGGGTAACTATGGGGGACCCTCTAGATTCACACATGTTTAATTCTGCCCAGGGAGGGTATAGCAACTTGACCGTGGCATTTATTCTACCTGTTATCTTCTGTTGTTTCTGCTTATTTTTGTCTTGTGGGGGGGGTGTAGCGTATATATTATATATATATATATATATATACATGTTCACGTATGTATATATATATATATATATTTATGTATACATATATACACACACACAGTCACATAGATACATATATATATATATAGAGAGATATCGAAGGCTGTGTCATTCGAGGACGTAGTCCCTTCCGCGCGAGAGAGCCGAGTGCCAGGTGAAGCAGCTCATGGACCGCAGCTGCGGCGCAGACTTCGGGTCCTGCCTCAGCTGGTCAGCCCCCGCACCTCTCACCGCAGTCACGGAAGGTGCGTGGTGTGTGTGTGGTTTGTATGTGTGTGGTGTGTCTCTGTGTCTGGTAATGGGATGTTCAGTTACTCATGTTTGATAAAAGACCCCATAGAAGGTGTGCTGTGGTGTGTGTGTGTCTCCCCCCAAAACAAAGCAAAGATTGACCAGATATTGACCAAAGTCAGAAGCGGATGTCATCTCCTTCCTGGGAGCAGATCAAGTGTGTGTGTGTGTGTTTGGTGTGTGTGTGTGGTGTGTATGTGCTGTGTTGTGTGTGGGTGTCTCTGTGTCTGTGTCTGGTGATGGGATGTTCAGCTACTCTATTTGTGATTGTTGCCTCAACTGCCGAGTAGCATTTGCCCGGCAAGCCGCGGTTTGTTTGGGGCTTTCCTCTGGCAGCTGCGCTGTGGCAGCCACGTCAGATTTGCACATCCAGTGGACTAGGGAAAGAACGAGACAGGCTGTTCTGTGACAAATGCTCCTCTCGCAAAAGAGTCTTGTGCCTTCATGCCCATGGGTCGTTGTTCACTGGCTGGACGATTCTGGCGCTTCACGCTAAGGACAGCGATGAAGATGACGAAGATGGCTGGTATGCTGAAAATCTCAGGCTGGCACTGCAGTCTTGTATCAAAGCTATCAATGCAACAAACACATGTAAGCCAGTGATTAATATTTGCTTCCTCCTGTTATCCTACATAGAATCCCCCCCTTGAAAAATACGTGTTTGTTGTGAAGACGTTTTGCTCTAGGCAAATGTCCAGCTGGCCATAGAAATGCAGAGTGTACAATCAAATTGTGGATTTCAATGAGTATGTTTTCTGGCAAAGAGAGGGACACAAGCAGCTGTTGCCAGGCAGGTTGCGGATGGGAAAGTCCAGAAAACGCCGCCCGCCCATTAGTATTTGGCATTTAACACCCTTTTGACCAAAGGTTGCTGTCTGATAGCTTTTTTTGGCACTAAGAGCATATATCCCAGGCTCAAGCCACATGGTGGCTGCAATTATCACATATCAGTTCTACATGTTTGGTTTTGGATCCCCATAGACCGCGGCACAAGTTTGTTGCTTTTAGTATTCTCCCGGAGATTGCTACTTGGCACGATCTCCGGGCCTGGAAAGGGGGCGAAGACCGAATATGGCCAAAGAGGATTGGAGTTCCAAACGGAGAACAGCGGCACCTTTTTTCTGCGTGCTGGGCCACTGGGGGAAAGGGTTTTTTGCTTTTGAGGTACTTGGTCCATCGACTGTAGGCATTTGTTTGCGCATGAAGACTGGAACTGTTGTGCCAAAATGCGGATTGTGCTGCCGCAGCCTAACAGTTTAGACTCAGGACGTCGTCAGTCACATACCACCACATGTTCTTCCTCCCCAAAGTGTTTTGGCTTCCTACTGCAATACCAGACAAATACTCAAGCAATACTAATCCAAATGGAAGCTAGCACTCTACCAAATCCAAGCCAATGCGCAGACACTACCGCAAATGGCTCAGCTGTACTATTTTGCAGTGTCCACAAATGGCATGCTCCAGCCAGTGAGGCATGTCAAGTTGGCAGTTCCATCTACATGTCTTTGAATCCCGCTCCATTTGCTTCGCCCCGGTTACTCTCAGTTTTTCATTTACGCAGCTGTTGGTCCAGGTCACGAAGAAAAAGGAGGCAATTGGCCCGGTTTTCCTGTGGCTTCCTTTTCAATGCAGCAAACACATTCGCGCGGCCCTTCTTTCGGCTGGCCCCCGTGCCAGGCGGCGAAAGCAGAGAGACTGCTGGAAGCCGCGCGCGGGCAGCTGGGTAAAGCTTGCGAACCTTCAGACACTTCCACTCTAAAAGGGAGACGCCGACTCGTTTTGGTGGCTCCCAGCCATCCGGTTTGCGTTTTAGCCTTGTGTTTAGTGGTAGTTTCGATTTAACCCACTAAAAGTTAAACTTTTTGCAGGGGATCTGAGGGCAGCCCAGTTCTATTTTCCCCTTTCTGGCTACAAACTGTTTTACAAACTTGTTGAGTTTCTTGAGCTTGCCCCGGTTTTCTTGCCGAGGCAAGCTGCTCTCGCCAGGGTTTCACAGCAATTTGTCCACGGAGTCCACACGTTTTCTATCGAGAAACCAGGTTCCTTCATGGGAAGCCACCGCTCCCTTGCTCCAAGATGCTTCCCAATGGGTGTTGTTTGTTTTTGTTTGTTATTATTATTATTTTTGCGGGAACCCCAAAGTGGTAGTCTTGCGTCTTCCTTTTGGTTTTCCTTGAAAACGCCAGGAAAAGTAGTATACCCCCAAAAACAAACACTCACGATGATAAAATAGCCTCTAAAAAGTGGAATGACTTTCTTTTCAAACTTCGACCCTCAAGTGCCGGTCAATTTGGTCGAATGGGCGCAACAAAGTCCCTTCATGAATATTCCCCCCAGTCACAAACAAATACAAACCACACGCCCAATGTTTGACATACCTGAATTTAAAGCACCCATCTACTCTCCTACAATTTAATGTGGAACCCAAGCAGCCTTGAGTGTAAGATGACTTCTTCACACCCCTTCCCATTTTGGGGCTTTCTACAAGGATGGCATCCAACCCCAGCCCGTCTCAGGAGAGCACGTCACTTAGAGGGCTCCCTGGGAGAGGTGCTCGCCTTCAACCGCGCCTCGGGTTGAAAGTGGCGAACGCCGGGCAGGGCGTGGGTTCGCAGCGAAAAATTAGGCCACTGAACCACACCTCGCTTCGAGTTTTCCCGTGGGAAGCCATGCGCAGAGCAAGTGTGGCAAGATTCTTTGTGTGAAGGGGCCAAAATGGGGGCAAAAACACATTTTTTATTGTTGCTTGTCCAAGGGTGCTGTTCCTCTTACACGACAGTATGTCTCAAAGTATGGAGCAGCAAAATGTGTCTGTGTGTGTGTGTGTTTCCCCCGCATGCTCGATCTTTGTATGCTGGCGGAAAGCTGGACTCACCATCTCGGCAGGAGCGTTTGTTGGCTTCTCTTGAACACACCGGACATACCGGACCTCTATAGAACCCGAGGGTCCAAGAAAAGCTCAGTCTCACACTGTTGCCGAGCAGGATGATGGGAAGCAGCTTGCGTGGGACTCGCGTGTGCCTGATGACGTAGAAACACCTTTATGTTTTTTTGCTGTATCTGATATATGGGCAGGGTGTGGTGAACAAACGCGAAACATGGGACCGCTTGTCGGAACCCCCATAGTGTCATTTTGTGACATCTTGAAAGGGGGTCGGGAGACTTAGAAGGTCGCCGCGGTCACCACATGACAAACGAGTGCCAGTATCTTTGCGAGCCCAGTCTTATACAAGGTCCTGGTAATGTCCACCTACGATTAGTAAACTGCCACTAAATAAAGCTAAACTTTTTCCCACACCCAAGAATAAAACTACCCCTCAATAAATCTAAAAAAGATTCCAAAAAACACCATGCTCAATACTACTTTAGAATTGGCCCAATTCTAAAGTAGTATTCGAACACCAAAAAAAACAGAGCCCAATACTAAACACATTCTAAACTTTTCCTGACCCTGAAATTTGTCCCCTTAACTTTATGTAGGGTCATTCAGGGGGGGCTATTTATTAATCAGAGGTGGACATTACTTTGTTCCTGCTTCTTTTGGGAAGCAACCACGTGAATTTCCCGGCACAAGCTTTGCAATTCGCCCACCATCGAAAACAAGGGACCATAGAGGTGTAGAAATGCCCCTGCACAGAAAGTCCACTTTGAATGAAGAGCGTCCTTTCTAGATACCTCAAGCTAGTAAGTTACTTTGCTTTGTCCAGAGAAACACACAAATTTGGCTTGTCAGTTCTCCGTTCTGCGCTCTCCCAAGACTGCAAAGGAGAAACCCACGGAAGGAACATCCGGACACGACTCTTTGGGTGAATCTGTTTTGCAGGGCCCCCCTTCTTGTGAACTGTCAAGCTCACCAATTCAAATGGATAACCCCAAGCTCCGTGATGAAGGTCTCTTACTTGGACATTTCTTGCTTGGTGACCCCCAGCCATCCCCTTAGCTTTTTGGCTTTTTTAGCGTTTATTGGGGTTTTCCATTTGACCCACTAACAGTGAGTCACTTTTCGCGGGGGATCTGAGGACAGCCCAGCTTACTTCCGGCTGTGAATTCTACGCAGTGCATCCGTCAGTCCAAGGCGACAGCGGGCGCTATCTGGTGCAGCTGATCCCGCCCCGGCAGCCCAACGGTCCTGTCTTCCAGGGCGGTGAGCCGCCCGCCCGCGAGCAACGAGCGCTTGTGGCTATGTGTGAGGTGTTGCCCAGAATTGATGGCAAGTACACGCGTTTTTTTTAGGGGTTGATTCCTTGTCCATTCCTTCCAACCATCGTTCTTTTCAAAAACCGAGCGCCGTTTTCCCTGGGTTTCCGGAGGTTTTCTAGAAAGATTTGGATCCCTGGAAAGAATGGGGAAGGTACCCCTAGAGTATGAGGTATATCCGGGATGGTCTATACAATATTTCTGTTGAGGAGCTTTAGTTCTGGGGTCATTGGAAGTAGCTGCTATCAAGGTAATGGCCACATTTACATGTTGCATAGGCTATGAGGTTTGTTCCATGATTCGGAGACGTAGCGTGCGGCTTTTGGAGCTGCACGAGGTGAATTGCACTTTCGCTGGGGTCGGGACATTCATGCCCAGCAATCTTTACTCATAGCATTGGGCTGTGGTGTGCTGCATGGTGAGTCTATTGAGGGTTTGGACTTACTTCCCCTTTTGGAGCGTGAAAAGGAAGAAATCCCAGTTGCCCAGTGGTGCCCTTTGTTCCTTGTTTTTGGGAAGGGTTCCCTTTAAACTCAACCAACCAAAAAGAGGATGCCCTTTTTGGCCCCTGGCCACTGGGCATCTGAGTAGTCAAAGGGTTGATTGCCATTCCCCAGCCATTTGGGAAGTTCGGATCGAGGCCAGAGACGGTGTCCAAGCTGGTGCTCATCCAGAGCCTTGCACCGGGCGAAGCGGAGTGAGGGTTCTCCGGGCGTGTTGGGACTTCACAGGACAACATACCCCAAAACGGGTGGTGCACCTACCCCAAAATGGTACCATCGGTGTTGACCCACAGCCATATTTGGTGGAGGGCTTTATGGTTGAGAGTTTACAGGATCTTTCCCGCTTCATTTTTTAATTCTTGTATCCCGGAATGCTGGAATAGCGTGGCTTTTCCAGCTGTTGCTGGCTTTTTATAGTTTTGGGCTTTTGTGCAGCCCATGCGCGGCGAGGTGCAAGACCCTTGGGTTCGGCTTCTTTTTGGGCTTTTGGCATTTTTGCTTTTCTGGATTCTAATCTTGAAGACACAGAGAGGAATCTGCGGAATGTTCATTCAATCAACGGCGATCCCAACGTGACTTGATAGGTGGCAGGCCTTAGGCCTACTTTCTGGTTGAAATGAGCGGCGCTTGTGGGTCAGCCCTGCTCAGGAATCTGCGGCCAGCTTTCGAGAGGACCTGGAAGCCGCCCGGCAACGAATCGAACTTCATCTGAGACCAAAAACTGCGGAGCGAGCCAGCGCGTCCAACAAAGGGCCGCAAAAGGTGAAGGTATGTGCATTGCGTATATATGGTCCCGTGTTCCGTGTTGCTACCGTCACCTACTGTCCCACCCCCACCCCGACCCCCTGAACTCGCACCCCGACACCCCGGCACCCCCACCCCCGGGACAGGCCAACCCGCAACCAACCATAAAGCAACCCTACACTAACCCTAAACGAACCCTAAACGAACCCTAAACGAACCCTAAATACCCCCTTAAACCAAACCCTAAACCGTAGACCTCTAAACCTAAACCAACCCTAAATCAACATAAACCAACCGTAAACTAACCCTAAACCAACCCTAAACTAACCCCAAATGCACCCCAAACCAATCCCTAAACAATAAACCCTAAACCCAAGCCGACCCTAAACCAACCCTAAACCAACCCGAAACTAACCCTAAACCAACCCTAAATACACCCTAAACCAAACCCTAAACCAAACCCTAAACCGTAAACCTAAACCAACCCTAAACCAACCCTAAATCAACATAAACCAACCCTAAACCAACCCTAAACTAACCCAAAGACACCCTAAATATACCCTAAAACAATTCTAAACCAACCCTAAACCACCACAACCCAACCACAGGACCACAACCACAGGGGGCGGGGGGGGGTACTTGTCTGACCCATGACCATTGGTGGGGGGGGGGGGGGGGGCTGGCAACGCTGTACCATATATACAAATATACTTGGTAGGCCGCCCCCCAAAACCTACCTTTTCCGCAAAACACTGTATGTATATATATATATATATGTCCAAAAATATGTTGCTCAGCCCATCCCAGTCAGCATTTCCTTGGCCAAAGTATGCCATGGCCGATGAAGATTCGGGCTTGGCGATTGGCTGGTTGGCCATTGTGAGAGAGGCTTGCTTTCCCCCTCAACTGTAGGCATGTGTTCTGCCACTACCAGTGATTGAAGAGTTGGAGTTTGGTACGGAATGTGCAACACTTAAGCAATCAGGGTTTCAGATAGTTTGGTGTCCATCAATTTCTTAAGAATAAATTTGGAATCAATATTGGGTATGTGAATGACAGGAGACGACTATGCAGCAAAACAAGCCGGGCGCTGCATACCCGATGTTACCCGACTACGCAAGGAAGCCACCAGAGGGGACCTATTATAAGCAATGGACACACCAGCCTATTGGTCTGGGGTGGGCCTCTTGGGGGTTTTGCAGGTTGATTGATGGGTATTGTCTTGGGTGGTCCCCTATCTTTTTGTTCCTCGAGTCACCCGCTACAAGCAGCTGGCTGACACCAAGATCTTGGCTCAAACGGCTCAAGTGCCGGACCTACATCATGAGAGCTAAATGGCAAAGTGCCAACGGTCCGACCCCTTGATGGCATTGAAGGCAGGCCTTGAAACTTACTTTCTGAAACGCTGTAGGATCATAGGCGCAAGATCAAATTAAGAATCCAGACCTGTCATGCTTATAGACCGAGAGTGTCAGCAATTTGGAAAGGCCACGTTTGTGAGTGTGCAAAGACATCGCAGAAGGCAGGATCATGTTTACACTGGTTGGAGTATTCACGAGAAAACTGCGCAATCACAACAACGTGAGAGCCTTTGTTTTGATCATTCACCTTTTCCAGAAGAATTGGGCGGCTGTGCTGGACAGGAGACTTTGGGCGGCCCAGTGTAGTTGTTCAGCAGCCTGGTTTGAACTTCTTTTTAGTGCCTCCATTGCTCACCAGGGAATTCTGCAATGTACAGCGAGCTCTACGATCTCATGAAGTTCTTGAGGGATTCCTGATGGGATAATTTGTCCCAGCAAAAGGATATGATGATATGTCTCAAAATGGAGGGGAGCCCACCAAATGCGTTGGTGTTCCTTGTAGTTCCCCTTCCAGCCTAACAGGGTACCCTCAGCAAAACATGCTCCCACGTAGAACATGGCGTGCAGGTGTATGAAGACCATGCGCCGCATCTCATTCGCTTGTTGCATCTCTGACCTCAACGCGCTACTTCCGCGCTGCTGAACCCTACCCAGCCCGAAGGCGGAAGGGGGGGGTTGTTTGGATGCAGCCTGAGATCAATAGTTCTCCCGCGTGGACATGATGACAGGTAGATGTGGTTCTTCGTCTTCGCATGAAGCAAAAGCAAGCAAGTTTTGATCCCCAGGTGTTTAAGCCAGTAGGTAGCAAGGTCGAAATAACCAAAACTAAAGACACTGTGCCCCAAGGGGTTGCCAAGGCATGCCAGAGCTGTTTGCCTGTTGCCGTTTTTAGCTGCGGCGATATTTGGGTCTTCGTTTTGTGTCAGCATGCAGCGTGGCTCTGTGAACTTGATCGGATAATATCATGAGGGATGACAGATACACTGTATACACTCGATGCCGAGCCCTTCATATTAAGTTACAAGTGAAGCAACCACAGCAAACCAATGCGAGTTTGCGAGTTCCACTCTTCTCTACTTGCGGTGGGTAGGAAAGCCATTGTATTTGGAAGCATTGAAACTCGTCTCATCGAGTTTCATGCGTCCTTTAACTGCTTTTTCCAGGGCTGTCAAGCATATACATATATATATATATATATAGGCCTTTGTTTGGAGTCCTGATATCTTGCGCCTATGGCAACGCCATGAATTTCCGACATTCAGGGGCTTTCAAAGTCAGAAGTGGCCCTGTTCCTTCAACCTACCTACCTCTTGGGGGTGATGCTATATCCCCTGCACAACTCGCTGCACAACAACGCATCTGTGCTTTTTCCGGAAAAGAAACTAAGAGAGGGCAAAAGGGCAGGGAATGAGGAATGAGGATGTTTCATTCTTCTCGACTCCCTATTTGACACCCGGACGCAAAGACCCCTCTTCCCGTCTGTTTCGCGCAGTGCTGAACCTGGGTTTAGCAGGCCAGTGGGAGTTGGGGGTTTGTCTTCTGTTCCAGGGAACCATGTCCCACTTGTGAATATTTTTGTCATTGGGCACTGGAAAGGACTTTTCCCATAGAGGTATCTAAGAAGTGGTTTGGCATTTCCAATGTTGTATTTGGCAAACCGAAGATGAAGCGCTCTCCAGGTTGATCTTGCTCGAATGGGGTGCTTGCCAGAGGACTCCGCATCCTCCAAATGCAAGCCAAACCCCAGAGTGGCGCTAGTTTGGTTGAAGCAAGCAGTGCCTGGTCTTCAAAAGGAAGCAAAGGGAGGTCACGGACACAGATGAGTTTCACCCATTGACCATAGAAATGCTTGTTGACAGCTCTAAGTATTATGACGGGCATTGGTTCCAAGCGCCTCCAAATGCTTTCTCTGGGCGTCATTTGGTTTCCTCTTCAGGAAACAAATATACCGAGTCCCCACAGTCAAAACGAGTTGAAACCATTGAAAGTAACGTGCCCCCACTCAAAGGTGGGTCAACATGCAACCGGGGACCATGAAAGAAGGACCACATGGACAACAAAACGCTATACGGGCAGTTTGTGCGATATGCAACAGTGACATGCAGTAAACCATTTGCTCCGGGCCCACTTGTTACGACATATCTCCTATTGCAGAGCGTGGTCTGAAAACAAAGCGACCACCACCCTCCGGAATTGGGCCTGGAAACTCATTTCTCGGGGTCTGCTTCACCTCTCCTAAGGGGTTCAACAGGTAAACCTCATTTGTGTGTCTGTGTATGTGGATGATGCGCAGCTTCAAGTTCAGCTCAATCATGGTGCATGGCTGAATACCAAGTGAGCAGTCGCAATACTTGTCGCGAACTTGACCCATAGCCCGGCCTCTTTCAGACGCATGGTGTCCTACATAAACTCAACAAGTATGGCACATCACCGGCTTCGATGTGAAAACTTGACGTCGCTCGCACGTATCCAATCGATGCGAGCCAAGCGCCATGCGTTTCTTGTGGCGGCGACGGGACGATGTCGCTGGCCTCAACCGCCCCACTGAAGCTGTCCGACGACCTCCGCACCCCACAAGAGCTGGAGGACGCGCAGATGGGGTCTGGTGAGTCGCCGACAATATGGGTATGGGTCAAAATCAATGGTACCATTTTGGGGTAGGTGCACCACCCATTTGAGTCTTTTTTGGCGGGGATGGGATGTTCACTGGGGCTGGGGGATTTTGACCCATGGCCATATGATGGGGTCTATTGTTGCACTGGGAAGGTAAGAACACCGGGGCTGAGCCTCGCCCTTTTTGTGGGAAACAGGCGTGAACCTCATCCCAGGTTCGCAGCTAATTCATGATGAGTTTGGAACTTGGAGGGGCATTCTAGTTAGCTGGAGGGAGGGCGGGAACCCTATTTTTTCCATGCTCATTGCAGGTGACAGGTAGCACCAGACCCCTGTTTTGGTGCAACTAGAGGTACGTTGGTCCAATGGGAACAAGGAATCCCGGCCCGGTTTCTTTTTGAACTCATCCTTGTTTCAAGGGCTCCCGTTTTGTGCGAGATCTCAGTTGTTCAGTAGCCACCATGTTCACTGTTTGTTTGGTGGGTCCCGCACTTTCAAATAATATAGACATTCCAAGCAAAAAGAGGACCTGACCCAGAAGATGGTTCCCTTTTTTCACCATGGTCACTGGCTTGGAAAAGAGTGAAGGGTGCTTGGCTGGCTTCGGTTATAGCCATGGACATTAGGGCTTTAGCCCCGGTTCCAGCTTAAATCATGATTGTATATAGAATATATGATGTAATATATATATATAGATGCCCTTCTAGTGGATCCCAATTGCCACTGTAAAAAGTAACCAGCAATTTGTGTGTTTCGTTTTTGTTTTTTTGTTGTTGTTGTTTTTTTTCTTTTTTTTAACGGATGGTTTCCTTGGTTGCCTACACACCCAGGGCCACGAAAAAGTGTCCCTCGGTCCCTCAGGAGCGCTTCGTCCTGGCCTGGGGAGCCAACGGCCAGCGACAATGCCTCACGGAGGGTCCTTGGACGTGGGAAATGGCACGCTGTGACTGTGTGGGTTTGTGTCAAAGCAGGGGTACCCCAACAAATGGTTAGTCTTCTTGTGGTAGCTAGCCCTGTAAAAACCATCCCAAGAAGGGGGAACGTAAAAAAGCAAAACACACACACATATGTGTGTCTACACCAGCACGGGAAACCTGAAACAGAAAGGACACGAACATGCGTGACCTACAGAAAGGACACACAAATGCGAGTTCCAATTGTTTGCGCATTCCACGTCCTTGTGTTTTGTTTGTATCTAATTTTGTTTCAAAGCCCAGAGGTCTGGTGCCGAACCCCAAGTTGGTGCCCTTCCATCGCGCTTTGCGGTCCCTGGCCGCCGGATGGGAGGCGGGGGGTTCCCAGCGCTCCGGATGCGCTCCGTTTTGCTGGACGCGGAAATCAATCGAAGGTGTATGTTGTAACACCTAGGTTTTCCAGTAGTGCCCTTTCTCACCCGTTTCTTGGAGGCTTCCCCTACTAAAATGGACTGCAGACAAAGGGGGTACCCTTATTCTAACCCCTCTACTGGAGGACCTAGACACTGTAAATCATAGTGTATATAAAAGCCACGGTCAAAGCCTACGAAGACCACTTTATCAAGAGGGGGTGAATTGCATGTCCGAACAGCACGAAACCCGGTAGAACCAAACAGGAGCTCCCAAAACCAAGACCCCTCAAGTTACATTGTATATTGTGTATATATATATATAGTCCCTTCTCCTTAAGAAAAAGGTCGCCTAGTGACCCGAAATCCGTCAACACGAAGCAAACAAGTGCATCATTGATCATTGGTCATTAAAAACCCTTCTTGTCTTAGCAAAGGTCCTATTGCCTGAGTTGATAAAGCTCCCTACTCGTTAGTTCTTGATTCTCAAAACCGAGCGCCGCTGAAAATTAGTCAACCAATCCCCCCAGTTGTGTGTTTTTTTGTTTGTTTGTTTTTTAATTGGAGTTTGTTTTTATTGTGATTTCAGTGAAGGGGTTATATATGCACTATATTGACGGGTATACATGTTTTTATATATATATACACATACAAATGGATGTAAACAACCAGATGGTAGGTATTTCCGGTAGTCCTCTACCAGTTTCTGTCGGTAGTACTGTTGGCAATCCCCAGGCACCATCTTTTACCGGCACGGCAAAATTGGATTACGCCGCATACCAACACGCCGGCTTAATCAGGCCCCCGCTTCGGGAGTGCTTCAACCTTGGGTAAGAACGCGAATGGTATGGACCGGAGCAAGCAGCAAGCCTCAGCTTACAAGGCAGATTCAGCTCCCTGACTGTCGCACAAGGTGCTAAGGGATGGAAGTATGCATTGGGTGCATTGTGACGCAGTTGTGAGGCCGCATATCCAAGACACCTTGACTGTCAGCACCTAGGTTTGCACACTTTGGCTTGCGAACAAGTCGGTGAATCGTTTCGGACATTGCGAGACCCTGTCTCCGTTTGGTCTTCTTTCAGACAACGTTCAACGAGTGTTACGGGGGTAACAAGTCACGGGGAGGGTCACGTTTTGATTTGTTGGCTGACTTCAAGGCAGATGGTGTGCTAGGTGCATGAGCTGTTATCGGCCTGGCACCGGGGATGTTCAAACAAGCACGCCCCTGTACAGGGCAACCAAAGGGCGCTGACTTGGACAGTTGAAACTAGGCCCAACCCTGCTTGGCAGTCACAGCAATGGGCCAAGCGGTTTTTGTGCACGTGAGGACCCATTCGTAGGGATGTTATTTGATTGATTGCCAGGCGGTAGAAGAGATTCCAATCCTTGCCTGTTGTGCGAGGGCTCCTTGCTCATTGACTCGGATGGCAGCCTTTGGGGTGGCGGCAGCAATCGCGGGCAGTGCATGTCCGAGGAGCTCAGTGATGAGCCGCTGGGGCTCTGCCTGTTGGGTGTTTCATTGGTTTGTCCACATCGTTGCTTGGTTGGTGGTTGATTTTGTTGTTCCTCACGTTGTTCTAGTTGTTTTTTAATCTACTTGGCCAGGTGTTTTTCATGTGTTTGTTCATCATCAGCAGAACTGTACCCATGGTTTTTGTTTGAACAATTCGGTTTGGTGCGTTTGTCCCGGCAAACCATAGCACCTTTGAGGCTCTCGTTTAAGGTCTTCAACAAAGTCAGGTTGGAGGTTTATTGAACATCGTCCCAATCTATTTTCCAGATCCGGGCAAGCAAACATGAGTTATGTAGAACCCAGATGGATTCATCTTCTTTGCAAGCAAGACAGGCATGCAGTTTTCTCACTGATATGGCTCTATCCCGTACCTGCTGTCAGGTTCTATGTTGGTGTGGAGCGTGCCGCAAGCACGGAAGCAAAACGATTGGTAGACAGGAAGATGATGACCGTGAGGCCAAGAGTGTTGGTGTTGAGGGAACCGCCCTCTTCCCTATAGGGTCCCTTTCAAGGGAAGCCAACTGGACATGAAAAGTTGGTCCATATTTGTGTTTTGTCGCGTTCCTTCAAACAACCCCCCCCCTTAGGGGGTCGCCCAATTGAGGCGGTTTGCCCTTTGCAACATTTAGCTTGTCACTCAACGGAATCATCCATTTTCATGTCCCTTTGTTCAGACAACCAACTACATGGCAGGGTTGCAAGCGAAACAGCGTGCCCTACACATGTGCGATTCCAAGAAGGAGGCCTGATCCCACAAGCCGAGTACTCATTTTGGATGGGTTCGGGGACAGGGTGGTTCCTGCGAACTGCGTTCGCTAGATGTCCTTGTTAGACGTATGACTTCACCTGCTCGTAATCTTTATCCCCTTTCTGCGTCGTAAGTTTTGTCACCGCGCATCTGGGATCTCCCCGTGACGCCGAGGCATGTTCCGCTGAGCCGGCTGGACATCGCAGAGCTGGACGGCGTGCCCTTCGAGGTCCATTCGAATGGGGGTGTGATGGCGTTACAAGCTATTGGAGAAGCCCTTGATCGATTCCACCGTCAGTGACTTCGCCATGGTCCTTGGAAAATCCAGTGGTTAGTTTTGGAATGCGGAACTTGCACATGCAATTGGGGGGACCTGGCCAGGCAATTCGCAGATTCATGAGGTTTGTAGCAATCTGCCCAGATCCATGAGGTTCAGTGAACAGACGGGGTTTCCTTGGGAGGGACGGTCATGGACGGCTTGATAGGGAATTTAGACAACCCCTGCAAGGCTTCCTTTTAATTTTAGGTAACCAAGCCATGGGTTTGGCCATGGCGCATAAGCGACACCTATTTGGGTGGAGAGAGAATTCTGACTGCGAAGAAGCTTGGCCAATCCTTTTGTTTGTGCATGGATGTACATGGCATTTGGAGAAAAGCGGTTTCTGTTGCTTCCTACATGGCCTTCATGGCCTTCCAAATTCCTGGAGCCAAGGGGTCTCAAGCCTTGGTTTCTCGAAGCCGCGCCGCTTTCCCAACGGCTAGGGGAAGCACCCCTGAGTGCGGTCCGCGAAGTTCGCATTGTTAATTATAGTAAACCTTCACCACCCTTGTTGCTTTGTCACCTTTCTTTAAACGGTTAAAAGATGAAGATGGTCTGTTGCACGACCGCCACCGCAACCGCCGCCACCGACAGCACCACCCCCACCCACCCCACCCCACCAGAAGCCGCATATCTGTCTTGGACCGCCCCTGACAAGGTTGCAAACTTGTCACCAGACTTCAATGTCTTGGTTGCACAACAACTTGCCAACCAGTTTCAACACTGCAGCTTAGGCGCAAACTGATCACCTGTCAACTTCCAATGTCTTGGTGGCACAACAAGCTTGTCCTTGCCAACCTGGCAAATTTCAACAAAGGATGGCAGGTTGCAAGCCTGCTGTCCTGCCAGAGTTCCAACACTGCAGGGCTGCCTTGGTCCAGAGTTGGGGGGTTTTGGTTCCTCAGGCGGTCCAGATGGGCCGGGACCACATCCTGGGCATCCTCGAGCACGGGCGGGCTGTGATCTCATGGGGCCCCTCCAATGAGCCACTCGGAGGGGCAAGCATCTGAGTGTTCACAAGCACCTCCTTCACCGGGTGGGAAAAAGTCAACAAAAAATGCCTCCCGAAGACAAACCCCCCGCATAAAAAAAGGGATTCCCTTTATCACAGTGGGGATAAATCCCCTGAGCCAACAAGCCTGACCGAAAACGAGCCATAGTGTTGATTTCCCCCTAAGGAAATCAGAGAGGACGGGCCAATTTGCTTTTCTTCTAGCCCCTCTTCTTAAGCACCAAGTTCATACCCGTGATTCCCTGGCGCACTGCAACCCAAACGAGGGGGTCAACAAAACGCCTGCCATCTTCTGGGGTACAGACACGGAAAGTTCCACGGGGCTCACAGGCGGGCTAATTGAGTCGCAGTGTGGACCCTTGGTTCCACGAGTTTCCAATTTTGGTGCACTCTGTCGGTTCCCCTCCACATTTCGCTCAACTGTTGACCCACAAGGACTCCCGTTTCTTTTTTTATTCGGGAAAGGGTTACTGATTGCGATGGAAAGTGTCTTAAACTTGTGGATCTTGTTTTGATTGCAGGGGAACCTCAAAGATTTCACAAGTTTAAAGGGCCCCCACGTTTTGCACCCCACTCCCACATCAACCAACATGGCTTTCCGTCAGATTTCGTCAAGTGAATGCCCCCCCCAACCCCTCCAACTCAACCCCCAACACACCACCACCACACCACCGCCCCCCCCAAACAAATATCCAATCCCAAATTGAATGTTTGGTCGTTCCCCCTCTTAGTTTCCTGTGAAACAAAAAACAAGTAGCCTCAAAACCAACCCCCCTCCACCCAGCCCCCTCTGCCCAGGTTCCCTTCCCCGAACCACAACCCCCCCGTCCCAGGTTCGGGCAGATCGGGCACGGGCTGCCCTACCGCTCCCGGGTGCGGCCCGGCGTGGTGCACCTGGGCGGGGTCTTGGTGAAGCAGGTGGCCTGTGGCGAGCACCACTCCTTGGTGCTCACCGCCCATGGCGAGGCGAGAGAGGAGCATGCATGCCACAGGGAGGAGTTTTGTTTTTTTTACTAGGTCCCCCAGCTAGGTGCCCTTTCTCACCCCGGGCCCTTTTACTGTTTCTTTTTTGGTTGGGAGGGTTCCCCTACTAAAATAGACTACAGAGAAAGGGTAGCCTTGTTCGAACCTCTGTACTGGAGGACCTACCAGCCATCCGGTTCCTCAGCTCTGTTCGTAGGGTTTAGTGGGTGTTTCGTGAAACTTTGAGCAGATCTGAGGATAGTCCGGTTTAGGTGTTGAAGGTTTTTATGTTTTACCCCCCAAAGTGGTTGTGTTTTGTCCGAATTGCCTGAGGGAGTTGTTGTTTTGTTGCTTTTGAGTTGCTACCCTTTTCAGGTTGGTTTAAGGCGAAACTCAAAGGAAACCAAAGCATTTGCCGGGGGTCGCCATTTGAACACATGCCGAGAACCCCGATGTGAGGTGTAGAGTATATGGGTGGAGCCCAGGATTTATATACCGTGTTGATCAATTGAGGATAATTCTCGGTTTTTGCTGAGATTTCTCGTTGTTTGCTGGGAAACCGCCCTAAGAATCCAAGGTTAATTCATCCGCGCTTCTTATGAGTCTATGGTCCATATTAGGTGGGCGGGGGACGAGATATGAATATTGCCTTTGATTACATAGGAGAACCAGAAACCATATATTTTTGGCCGTGGCTCATGTGTTGGGGGGGCGTCCTGACATGGGAAAACACCGGTTTTGATGAAAGAGTGTGTGTGTGTGTGTGTGTGGGTGTGTGTGGCATTTACGTGGGGGGTCTCAAAATTGGGGAAGACACTCAGAATGCTGGGTTTTGCCTTCGGCTTTCCTTGAAACCAATGCACGCAAGCGTGTGTCCTGAGTTGGAAACGCCATCGGAAAACCAGCAAGCCAAACGGCAAGCGATGCGTTTCAGGAGTCTCTTGCCATGACCCGATTGTCAGGTTGCTGAGTTTTTGATCGTTGCTGTCCTACGGGTCATGGGAAAATCCCGCCCCTTGCCCAAATTGCTGTATGGAACCCCGGGCCTTGGTAAGGTCTCAAGTTTGCTTGGGGGAAGGTTGCAAGAAGGCCACGGTGTTGAGTGGGTTGAGGCCCTGAGGATGTTTCCCGTGCCTTTGGCCTGCTTGACATGTTGCTCTTGGTGAGAGAAGAAGAGCTGGATGTGCAGGGAAAGTGCTCATGCCAGTCTCTGGTGTGGTAGCCAGGAACTGCTGTCAGTCACATTTGCTGAATTCCCGAAGGATGCAAGAAGCCACCATGTCAATTGGCTCAGTTGATCTTGCGTGAACCCTGCGATTCCTAGCGTTGTAGTTGGATGCATCGAACACTTTGTCCGAACTGGCTACACTTTGCGATGCTGCTTGTTATGATCAAACTTGTTTAGATTTGGGCTAAATTCGGCTACTGGCTACCCTCTACTCAAGAGAGTACTTCCAACCGATAGGCGGGTTTTGGGAAATGATCATTTTGTTGCACAGACCAACGGGCCAAAGATATGAGTGCCACACAGGGTCTGCTTGGCTGCACCAATTATTCTGAATGTGCCTCTACGGCAGAAGCACCCTCTCGTGGCAAGCAAACTTTCAAGATCGGTGCGAGGTGCCATTTTAACTTGCTGGTGCTCAGAAGGGAATAAGGAAACAACCCCTATAAATTATCAACTACCCCTTGTGGTTTCCTTTAAGAGGACCCCTGGGTTCATTCCCAACACCCTGAGGAGTTCCCTACTGAGCACCAGCAAGTTAAATGGGTGGCATCTTTCCTGCTGAGTCCGACAAATCGCCCCACGGCCACATTATCAACATGTTTTTGCAGGCCTTTAGCTTTGACCCCGGGCAGTATGTCCATAAGAACCCCCTTGTGCCTTGACATGGAACCCAAAAGACAAGAAGCCAAAAAGGCGGAACAAAACACTGGCCTTTTTGGGGTCCACTGCCTCATTTGGGGACAAAACCAAGTCGAATAAAGGCCCTTCAGCCTTAAGATGATTCCCCAGGAGACAAAACCAAGTCGAAGAAAGGCCTTTCAGCCTTAAGATGATTCCCCAGACCTCAGCCCTTGCTTTTTCTTGGTGCTTCGCTTGACTTGGGCCGTAAGGCTCTGGTTAAGCCTAGGGCATCTCCTGCGCGGAGTCTCACGGAGTCGTCAGGTCTTCTCCTTTGGCTGCAACTTGCACGGGGCGCTGGGATCTGGGCGTTGTAGCTCACAGGAGAAAGTCGCGGGTGATGCGCGTGCGGGGCCTGTTTTTTTGGATGTGGTTTGGATGTTTCTTGATGTTTTGTTTTTTAGATACTTGTCGATGTTTTCTGGATGTTGTTGGTCTTTTGGTGTTTTGGGCGGGTTTGGAAGAAGGTGCCCTTGTTGCTTCCTTTGCTGACATGGAATATATGGACCACATTGTAACCTTCACCCAAATGAAGAGCAGCATTTGTACATGTCACTAAACGTACGCCAGAATCTAAATCTAAATACGCCGTGTTTAGCTGGGCAGCCAAGGTGGATCCTAACTTCCGAACGACCCGATCAAAGCTCAGCTTTTTGCAAGGGGCAAAGGCCAGGTCGTACGGTCCTGCGCGGTTTCCATAGAAGTGGTACATCTCGTCTGAGAAGCGTTGTAAACCAAGTGTCATTCGACTGTGGGTAGTTTTCACCTCCAGGAGCAGGCCGAGCGCGTGGTGGGCAACCACCTACGCTCCATGCCGATACGTGTCTCAGCGAAAATTGCGGTTTCGGCTGTTTGTGCGTGACCCCCTCGCAAGGCAAAGCAAAAGGCACTCTTTTGGTGCCACAATTGAGTGGCGCCCTTTTTGTTGAACCCTCATATCAATGTGACATTGGAGCTTTGTTTGACGATGTTACTCACACGAAGGTTGCTCACGTTTGACGCGCTTGCCGTACCCATTTCCCTCTTGGGTTGTCCATTTGAGGTGTCAATCCTTTCCTGGCAGGCAATATGCGTTGACGGTCTTCAGGGGCCAAGGCAGACCAAATCGGACACATTGAATGATTGCTCGGGAATAAGATCCTGAGGCACCCAACGTGCCTTTTTTTTAGGTAACGAAGGGTGCTCCAGGATAGAATTCAAGACCCAGCTGCCATCCGCCAAGACATGGCCTTGTCGGCCACGTTTGGCGCGAGTCATCTGGGGAAACGCCCGAAGGAGCCAAGGCCCAACCCTGTGAGTCCCTTGAGCCGTGACTGGATAGGTGATAAAGAGCACATTGCCAGTTTGCCCCAAAGGGAACCGGCACGGAATGGAGAATTGTGTTTTTTTTGTCCAAACTGGGTACATCCATTTGCACTGCATATGAGTGTATTGATGTTCTCTTACTTTTAGGTCGATGAGCCATCACAATGTACCTAGACGAGAATCACAAATGCCAATGGGTGTTTGCTACGGCCCTGTACGCCTCAGGGTATGAAGCTTGCTTTGAGTATATATGTAGTTTCACCAGTGCAAGTCAAGCTACAGGTGCGGGTGTTTGCGAGTTGAACTTGTCAGCTTGCAGCAGATTTCTGGCGGTGAGCCGCAAACATGTGGCTGCGCGCCTTAGGGTAGGTCCGTCTTTTTCCGACACCTTTGTTCAGTTGCATAGGTATGCTTGCTCAAACAACCGCTGAGTAGAGTATAAGATCCATCTGCGGGCAAACCGCAACAGTAAGGATTTTTGCCAACACATGCCGAAACATGAGTGAGAGGGTTGCAAGCCTCGAACCACTGTGGATCACCATTGGGCCATGTTTGCTTGTGTTGCCACATTGGCACGCCTTTCTGCGACACGGCATGCCATCACTAGTACAAATCATGTTTTTTTGTTGAAGGCACTTTAACCAGCTTCACTAATAACGATACCGATAAGTTTCAGCTTTTGCACCGCTTTGTTGAAGGGCACTTCTTCACATTATGCTTTTTCGTTGGGCGGGTTTCTCAAGAGGGTTTTTTGATGTCGGACCTCTATTTGGTTGTAAAAGAAATCATTTGCAATTCCCTAGCTCTGGGCAAAACGAGCTCATCTCTGACGAGGGTTCCTTTCTCAATTTCCAGCGTGGGAACTGTAGTAACTTAGCACGGGTAATTTGAGCAGATAGTCGCAAACAAAAGAAAGGCAAAGCAATTCTTGGGAATCTATTTCAGCCAACACCCGCTGCATGACTTGGAAAACTCAGAAACTCGACGCTGAGCACAGCCACACGGTGAAACCTTGGTGCAAGGGTTTGGCACGACCCCTGCCACAGATTCCCTGTGATATCTAGCGAAGCCTCCTTAGTGGAGCCCAGGATTACAACGAGCCTTGATGCACAAGGGGGATTTTTGTTCTCACGAGAACCTCCGGTTTGGGGCCATCACTCATCCGCTAAGTTTATTACTCCGTTGACGTTTCGGGACAATAGGAACCTTTTGGTGCAAAGGTAGATAGGAGTGGGGGGGAAAGTCAGCAAAACCGTAGCAAACGCCTAAACGTTTAGAGCACTATAATCCAAATGATTAGAATGAGTATGTGGGATACTTTCACAAATTTAGTCATGAGTATAATCCATTCGTAAATTATGGTATGTTTTGCTTGGGCGCCCCGAAGAGCGGCTTTCAGGGAACACCAACAGCACAACCATTTCCACTGGGTGTCCTTTTCAGGTCGGTTTTCAGGCCATGGGGCGGGTTCCCTTCTAAAAAAGGTCCCCTGTTTTCCTTCGTTCCGCATTTTTGAGACACCCTTCTTTTGCCAGTTCTCAGCAGGAAAAAAACATATTCCTTGTGGTTTCTTGAGGACTCCTCTTCCCTTATTCTCGGAATGACCTCGATTGAAAGACCATGTTTGGTGGTTTCCAGGATCCCCGGATCCGGTTCATTCGAGCCACAATCAAAACCAGGGTAGATGAAGGTTAGTAATGGCCAATCCCAGCCAGAAATACCTTCGGCCGCCTTCTTGATTCTTGAAGCATGGTTCTGGGTAGACCATTTGAATACCGGGTTTTGATGGTGACTCATATCGAGTCGACTCGAGTTGACTCGTTCCTCGATCGTTCCTCGAGTCGTTCGAGTCGACTCAGGGGGCATTGCGGCTGGGGCGCAGAGCTCCATGGCGCTGTCCATCGGCGGCCACGTCTTCACCTGGGGTTCCAATGGCGCCACGTCCGCGTTTTTTTCGAATCCCAGGGGGTAGGTACTGGGGCGGTGGGCTGGGGGGTAGTTGAGAGGGTTCTTTACAGTTTGGGGGGGGAGGATTGAGAGGGTTCTTTAGGGTTTGGGGGGGGGAACTGAGAGGGTTCCTTAGGGTTGGTTTAGGGTTTATCGAGAAATCAAGGAAACCCGGCTAGGGTTTAGGGTTGGGGTTTGTTGGCGAAAAAGCGAAGAAACCCGGCGTTGGATGGATGGGGGGGGGGGGGTGCAAGTGGGTGGTAAAATGGGAGATGATATAATTGGATGGGTCTCAAAAGGGTGGAAAGGTGGAGGTTATAAATGGGTGACCTTCTGGATGGGTGTGGGGGTTTATAACTGAGTGGTGAGAAGTACACTCTTCCTGAGTTCCGTTTCGGACTTTAGTCACTTTTTGGGGTTTGGACCATTTGAGTGGCAAACAAAAGTTGGGACTTTGCTGGACTTTGTTTCGCAAATCCACCGAGGAAGTGAGTATAAATGGGTGATGATAGAATTCGAACTTGGCAGGGGCCTATTTTGGATGGGGCCCAACTTTCAGGCATGCCGTAGCTAGAACCCCCATTTAGGAACTGTGTATTTCTCACTTTTATGCAAGCCACTCCGCAGCCGGGCAAGTCTGCGGGATACCACCCTGGTTCCGTCGGCACGGGCAAAATGGTTTTGGACATTCGTTGGACATGGAAGGACTGCCTGTTTTATGATTGTGGCTCAAAATGAGTGTGCCCCCAACCCACAGTTTGTAGAAATGGGGGTTGATCAATATTCCTGGCCCCAAATGACCATGGGTAACATTGTTCCATTTAGTGATTGAAATATCGAATCTTTTCAGTGGTTTTCCAACCCATGCAAATGATCTTTTGATCAATTCCCCACCCATCAAAGTCAACTAGACGTTTAGTGGTATTTCTGGGGCGTCCCACAAAGGGGATCGAGGACCGCTGAGGGTGCCCCAAACCGCATGCCCCAGTTTGTACAATCAGGGGGGCTTGGGGGGGAGGGAGGGGAAGGGGAGGGAGCCCAAATAAGCAAAAAAGCCTTATTTAGGATATACATATATATATATATGGGCTTCTTCCCCCTCCCCTCCCTCCCAGCCCCCATGATACAAATTAGCAAGAGCAACAAATCTGCAGTCAGTGGCTTCTCGGTTGGCCCGAGGCCGCGGACGCTTGGGCCTCGGCCCCGCCTATGACCAAGAGCCTACAGTGCTGGCGCCGGTGGCGGCGCCCCGATTCGGGGGGGGGGGGGGGGACGAGGGGGATTTGGGCTGGGGAGGGGGGGGTTGGGGGGGAGGGGGGGTGTTAGGGGGGAGGGGGGATTTGGGGTGGGGGGGAGGATTTGGATATTTGGTTATAAAAACCGATACCAACCGGGGTTTTCTGGGTTAACGCTAGATGGGGTTTGGTTGTAAGTGGGTTATAAACTGTTACCAATGGGGTTTTCTAGGTTAAACCATTGTCAATGGCGTTTGTTTGGTTAACCCTATGTTGGTTTCTCAAAGCGGATTTTGGACGCGCTTCTTGGTTTGTAATTAGAAGGGAGGCCAGAAGGAAACCGCTGCCATTTTGAAGGACCAAATGCTGTTTTGAGAAACGCCAACTTCAGAGGATCCCATTATTTTGGCTTGTTTTCTGGACCTCCGAATCTATTTAGGGTAGACTAAACAGGGAACAGAGTTTGAGCAGTTTTTTGTGTACCCCGGGTGAGGGGCAAGTTTTCCCTCAATCCGCAACCAAAAGTGGTAAGGGTGCAGGAATCACCAAAGCTAAGTTATTGGGATTTAAAACACACTTGTTCCCTTGTTCTGGGGCCGAAAAGAATTCTAGTGGTCTCTCTTTGGTTGGGGATTCCCACATTTCAACTGCGCCCTCAAAGTTCATTTTTTTTCGGGTTTGGGACCGACCAAAGATGGAATCAACCCCAACAAGGCCCTTCGTCGAGGGTCACGCAACTGGGACATCACAGTTATCCCTTTGGTTTCCCTTGAAGAACCCTAAGGTTTGTGTTCGGGACTACTCCTTGGATGTGCCCGGGAACCTCAACGCAGAACAGGTAGATGAAGCTTGGTAGGGGACCGTCCCAACCATAATAGGTGCGGCAAGATGCGCTCTTGAGATGATTTACATAGTTTACATTGTTTTCGGGAGACCGTTGTAGTATCAGGTTTTGACTATGACACAGGTGTCGCGGACATGGAAATAAAAATGCAGGGCTCGCAACCCCATGTTTCCAATAGTACGGTTGGTCTCCATTGTTGCGCGTAAACCTCTAACCATCCTGGAATTTGCCGAAAATGTTCGTTGTTCCCGGCATGGAAGAGTAAAGCTAAGGGAACTCACTGTTGCGTATTTGTCCCTTGCTTTGATACCTACATCTTTGGCTCACAATTTGAGAATGAGACAAACCAAGGGACTCAGCAGGTGCCAAAAATAGGCCCAAATGGCCGGTTCCACAAAAGAGGTCTGTAAAAGGGGTTTGTCATGCGGGTTGGGGCTCCATTTGGCTTGATTCTGCTTCCTTTACCGTGTCCATCACGGCATTCTTGCCGTTCAAGCAGCATTGGTGGTTGAACTATTCTTAGGGTTGCGCAATCGCAACAGATGGGCAGGAGGAGGGTTGTTGTGTAGTGTTGGTTGGGAGCGCGTCACCGGAATGCCCAAAGTACCAGAGACACTCGGGGGGTGAACACCAGTTCCTGCCTTTTTTCTGTAACTCAGGTTTGAGTTTGACTCCTTTATCCCCGCATTTCGTCATTTTGGATACAACATTTCCCCTTGAGCCCCTCCTCACTTCCTGAGTTCATGGCCAAGAGTCACTTTTTGGGAAGACACCTGTTTGTGGCAAAGCAACAGTTTGGCCCTTTTCTGGCCAGTCGATCAGACGTGAGCCGAGAAAAAAGGTCCCGAACCTGCCGGGGGTGGCGCGTGCCGTGGCTGCGGGCGGCCAGCACTCTGCGGTGATCCTGCGGCGGGGCCGGCTGTTCTTGGCCGGAGACAACCGCCCATCGGCAGAAGCGGTCAGCGGTCAGGGCGGGGCGGCGGCAGCGGCGGCAGCGGTCGCAGTGGGTGTGTCTCATGAAGTGTTGCGGCAAAGAAGGGGATGGTATGCAGTTTGGATCTTTTATATACCATGTTTTTGGTGGGATTTGCTTGGACATGAGATGCCATGAGGTTTGCTAAGTATGGACCAGAATCAAGCATATAATTGCAGGATGTGCTTTTGAATGGGGCACACATGTTTAGAGATGCATGCATGTATATTATGTCTATGCAGCTACCCTTCCCCATATTGCCTGCACTGTTTGGTTGGTGACAGCATTTCTAATTGACAATGATGATGCAGAGGATAGAATCTCGGGTGCAACAATGAAACGAGAAGGAAGATACGAAGACAATTAAAAGTCATATTGTCTTTTTGTTTAGCTTTAGCTTTATCGTTGTCAGGTGTTTAAGAGATGTTCATGGCAGCCGCGTTTATTCTTCCATTCTTACAGCTACATGTTCAGTTCTTTGTCTTCCTCCTGCTCAGATGATTGAACAAATGCGCGACCGAACAAAGCAGCTTGCTTGGCGCACAGGAGTGTTGAACGTGTAGCGACACGTTGCTGTCCTACAAAGACTTTCGCGCCGATCCTCTGCAAAACGAGATGGTCCCTCCGAATCCCGAATTGGTTTCGAGCTTTTGGAAAGACGAATCTAAATGAGCCCAAAACGAGATCAAATAGACAAGAAGTATAGCCCCCCGCAAAACCCAAATTTGCTTCGAGCTTTTGGAAGAACGAATTTAAACGAGCCCAAAAGGAGATCAAACCAGTTTTGGCATTGCGCTAGACAAGAGATATACCCCCCAAATCCCCACTTTGCTTCGAGCTTTTGGAAGGACGAATCTAAACGAGCTCAAAACGCGATCAAACCAATTTTGGCGGAAGTGCAGCTGGAATTTGTATGCGCTCGACGCAGACAATCTCTGTATTATTCACGTGGCTTTTCGTAGAGACTCTTCAACAGCAGCGGTTTTGATATGGCTCACGTGCATGTGTGTGTGTGTGTGTCTTTTTGTGTATGTCTCTGGGTGTTTGTGTGTTTGCGTGTGTTCGTGCTTGGGCGTGTGTGAGTGTTTGTGTTTCTGTGTGTGTACCTGTGCGTGTGTGTGTGTGTGTTCTTTGGTGTGTGTGTGTGTGTGTGTTTCTGTTTGACAACTCATTTGTCGGGGCTGTTTTTGAAACCAGACTGCATTTGGGGGGGGGTATACATTCCATTTGCAGGCAGTCATCGACTCCATGAAGTTTTTACATCGCAAAGAGCTTTCTTCTTGAGCTTTGTTTGCTACCCGCCAATCTTGAGGCTCCGGCCAGCTGGGGCAGTCGAGGAAAGATGTGGACTGGACCAGCACCTTCTTCGAGTTGCCTTTTCAGGCTCGCATATGGGGGTGGCTCAAAATTAAGCAGGAAGGGTTACGCGGATTTTTGTCCATGTTTCCACTTGCCAGGGGTCCATTTTGGTACCGATTTTGTGAGCACAGCCATATAGCAATCTGCGAGGGTAGACCATTGGTGTGGCTTTAAATTGTCTACCAATTTGTGCCGATCAGGTCTTCGAGTAAAACCGAGCTCCAGATAAAGCATCCATTCTTGGGGGTTGAGTATGTTTGGCTTGTGCAGATTTGTGTGTTGTGGTGATGCGGGCTGACATGTGCCAGGTGTTCTGGCAGGACAACGTTGATGGGCACGGTATGTTATCAGATCAACTCAATGACGGTCACCAAGGTGTTGGCAGCGCGAGCCCAGCCTGACCTTGACCCTGTGAAGTAATCAGCCAAAGTCCTTACATACTTGGCGTTTGGGTGCATTCATACTAAGTGCTGCTGACTAGTGCCATTTGGAGAAGGCCTGCAGACTACATGTTAGTCACTGTTGTTGAAATCGATCTGCACTTTACAGTGAAATACCATTCCAAACAATCAAATTCGAGTTTGCAGGTGTTGTTTTAGGCGGTCCCTGAAATCCAGAACCCCTCTTTGAGCTGTCTTTGCGGGCAAACTCATTGAGCACATTCAGCAGCTGACATATGAGCCTAGCCCAACGTTGCAGGCGACCTTTGGGTACCCTGGGCAGTCAAAGTTAGGACACGGTTAAGATGGCTCAGCATGAAGGCTGCGCTCGTTGTTTTTTAGCCAGCGAGGACTACATGCTGAGAGTGCGGACTGTCGCTCTTGGCAAGACGCTGGGACGAAATAATTGGGTCGCAAAGTAGAAGGGAATGACTAACAGCATCAATCCACATCCTATGTGTTTAGTGACGCCCCATTCTTCAATAGTAAGATGAATATTGTTGTGCTTCACTACCCTTGGACGGGACGGTACTTCAGCTGAAGCTTGCTGCTCATGAAGCCAACAAAGGAACGATGCAAGGATTCTGGGCCCTCGGTGTTTGTTAAGCTTGTATGATTTCTGTCCGACCAGTGTTTGCTGAAGAGCAGCGCCAAGCCAAACGCAGTAGAACAGAATTCAGGGACAACCAGGACTTACACACTTAGTGCTTCCGCGTACACTTGCTGAAGGGCTTACGCTTAACAATTGTCCTAAGTGCAAATGTATAGTCGAGGATGTCAACCGTTCTGGTCATCTACTAATGTATTCCATTTGCTGAAGAGCTTTTGGGATGTTCCCCTTTTGGTTTCAAGAGAATCTGTCACTACTGGACATATGATATTAATCTGTTTCAGGGAACTTAAGCAACAGGAGGCTATGTTTCACGCGGTTTGCCTTTGGCCTTTGGCATAGCATCTTCCCGGTTTCAAGCAACATCGCCGAACTGAATGTGTCTTGTTGTTTTGAAGCCAGTTTTGGTGGGCTCCAAAAACAAACTAAACGAACACTAACCGCAAAGATTGGTTCCTCAATTTTAACACAATCCCAACTGATGCCTTTTTGGAATTAGTGCTCTGAAAGCGGCCCCTTCAAAGATCGGGCATCAGAGCCCAATTTGGTAGAAAGGGGCCAAGTGTCCATAAACCCATAGCGGAGGAAAAGGCTTGATGTGGGCGAGTGAACCTGTAAGCATGTTGCTGATCGGTGCGAATCTGTAGCAAATATTTCGGACAGGCCGTTCTCTGGATCTGGGGATACATGTAAACAGGATCAACGCCAGCTTCCAAGACGTGCTAATGCAAGTGGACACCAACACAACTGGCCCACAGACATTTTGTTGACCCCGCATGGCGACAAGAAATGTTCAAACCGATATAGCCGAAGGCCTATCTAACGTGCTTGCTTGTTCGAACTGTGCCCCTTAAACGCTTCAAGCTTCTCACGCACTTCGAACTTCAACCACTTAGTCGCAATCTCAGGGAGTGCACCAACAAAACTAACACCGCATTAAACCCAACCAATCTTCCAAGTGTCCTTTGCGAGCTTTGCGTTGGTCCATTTTGTGTGAGGGTGAAATAACTATCCAAAACTGGCCACAAGCCACCAACCTCTCTAAAGAAACACATTTGTCTATGAATCATGGTGGAGTACAGTAAGTTACATGGCTTTTCCGTGTTCCCTATTTGCAATATTTTGGGGCGTCCAACAGAGTATGTTCAAGCATCAGTGGTCGCATGTTCTCTGGGCTCCTGGCCCAAGCCCTTGACCAGCCACCCAGGCGCAACCCTCTTTTAGATGGACCCAACCCTGTACCATTGGGCTGGTTTACGCATGGAACTCACAACAACCCTGATTCCCATTTGGTTTCGCTTCCAATCAAACCCAACTGCCTTTCTGGTTCCCTCGACTTCGCCTGAAAACAAGCCAAACAACATGGTGGTTCCTCTATTAACCGTCATCACCTCCCTTGCGTGTCTTCTTCTTGTCTGTCAAGATCCATGGTGTTGCTCTTCTAGGTCCCCCAGTAGTGCCCTTTTACCCGTTTTTGGGTTCCCCTACTAAAACAGACTACAGAAAACAAATCGGGTACCAACTTATTCTAACCTCTCTACTAGGTCTTAACACAAGGAAAAGCGTGTGTGTTTTTCGCGTATTTTTTTGTTGACATGAGGAAGCACACGTTGATCCTGTCCTACGACGGCCAGCTGTATGGCTGCGGCTGCAACGGGGACTCCCAGCTGGGTTCCTTGGCCTCGGAGCCCGTGGACGTGCCGCTGAAGCTGAAGCTGGACACGGCGAAGGCGGGGAGCGGGGAGCGGGAGCCTCGGTTCGGAGTTCCCAGCCGGACCGTCGGACCCACCCTCCCCATAGGTGTCCTTTTTTGGTGGGTTTGCTGATTATTGCTTTGGGTTCCGCTGGTTTGGGGGTTCCATTTAGCAGGGAAAACACATCGATTTTTCCAAAAGGTCACCTATGCCTCCCCCCGAAGCGTGCACCTCAAGACTTGGTTCCATTTCCAGAGGCCTGGGACCCCTGGGAGCTTCCAGCGTTTGAGGGTGTGTAACAGTCAGAGAACACCTCCAACAAATTCAAATGGGCCTATGATTCGTACGGTCTGGACGAATTTGTTCGGTCTGGACTAAGCCGAAGTTAACATTGCTTGGACATGATTGAACGGTTCCGGGCCGGACAATTTAAAGGTGTACGACAGACCTTTGCGGAATGTTCTGAGTTCAACAGACCTGGGTGTCCGTTAGGTCAGTTTGGTTCACAATGAATGGGTTCCGCTGGCTTCAGTCCGGTGGAAAATCCAGTGCCATTTGTTGTTCTGTAAGAATACTTCGAAGGTCATTTCGTGGCACGGTGAACGAGGCCATCGCTTTTTGGCGCCTGTTTTGGATCATTTGCCCCATTTGAGGTCCGGGGATTGTCCGGCCAATCAGCCCTCTTGGAACAACCCAGTTGCATGCTGCACCTTGAAAGGGGGTCCCTTGGGCTCCTCAAAAGATACATTTTGCCATTTGAAACATGGCTTTTTCCACCAAAATAAAGGGACGCCACCATTTACAAGGCGATGTTCAGGTGTATAATGTAAGGATCCCTGTCAATTTGTAGCCTTTCATTTCAACACACCCGACGCCAGATCAAAAGTCGAGCCCCCTTTGCGAGCTGGGCTTGTCCTCCCAGGTCACTTCCTAGGCAAAGGGACAGCCCCAGACATGCCAG